TCAAGCACAAGGCATCACAGCATCTAAAATAGAATGTTATGCCCATGACAACACATCACCTTCTTCTCTCATATTCCACTACATTGCACTTCCTTCCTTCCTTAGCATCAACTATCACTGACCTATCACCTCCTCCACCCTTGTTTTTCTACCTTTCACCCTGAACATGTAAGACAACCTCACACAACAAAAGCACAACTGTTGTAGCGGAACCCTCTCTTGACCGCGTCTGGTTCTACTGCACGCAGTAGTCATGACTATTTAAAGATCACTTTTCTCGTTCAACAATTGATTTAAATCAGATTAAAAATGAATAATGATTGTAGATAACCACTATGATCCTTTAGGGGAGGGGGCGTATGTTATTGTACTTCAAATATTAAGATTCCAAAATCCCAAACTGACCCCTTTCTCTTTCCCTTTTTTTTTTCTGGGTAACCTTTTCACTATGAATCAATGTGTGATAACACCATTCTTTAATGATAAAGAGCAAATTGGAAAAAATATCATTTTCAAAATGAAAGGCCCAATGTGAAATTGTTCCTTGTTTTGCATTTCATCTGATCGGCTTTCAAAGCCTCCGGGTATGCTTGGACTCACTTCTCTCGCTGTCTTTGTTAATGCCTCTCTTAGTCTTTGTTAATGCCTAGATTTTAGTTTCACAGCCAATGTTCATATCTATGTGACATTTTTCTTTATTGCTCATGGTTTTTCAACTTTCTCTAAATATTGGTCCAAGTAGATTATGTAGGATAAGTTTTGACGCTTGATAGGGGACTATTAAAGAACATTAAATTTCTTCAATGGTTCGATCAACTAAATTCCTATCCACTTCGAGTAATGCATTTGTTCGGATTTTCATAAATTTTGGTTGTTTAGTTTCTTCACGAAATATACAATGATTCCATTAGACCGGATTGACTGATGTTGAACATAAGGCTCTTCACAAGTCCAATATTCTGATAGTAGAACCAACTAGATACTTTCTGGTGGATTCTGTAGTGCATGTTTTTCTAAATGAAACAGAATCAATTACATCTCAAATCTCAACTTATTAATTGGTATCTCCGTTAACTTTAATAATGATGTTTAGATTAACAAACTGTATACAATTTTTAGAATTAGGTGACTGATTTAATTTATGTAAAACCATAGGGCCCCCATAAGATGAATTCTCCATCTTTGATTATGATGCTTTAGCTATTCTGAACGATTACTTCCAATATAATAGTTCGCTGACGGCAACCTACGTCTTAGGTAATGATGGATAGGGTTACGGCATGTGAAGTTCCGTTGCCTCTAACAAGTATAATTAGAAGAAATGCTACTCTAGCGAGATCACAGGTGGAACCAAGGATATCAGAGGTGCCAACGACCCAATTATCAGCAACACCATCGATCAAACATTGATATGCGCACGACCCATTGGGTCTTCCTATCGGCTCATATTTTGCCATCTAAATCAACAATAAACGAACGAGAAGAATCTTACGTGCGCCTCCAACATAGTGCCGCCCGAGAAAACGGATCAAGCGATTTGCTAAGCCCCGAGGAAGACCGGCTCCATGCCCTAGCCTTGCCGCCCGAGAAAACGGATCACGGCGACTTGCTAAGCCCCGATGAAGACAGGCTCCATGCCCTAGCCTCGCGACCGTAGTCGCGGATCGGCGTCGATCTATGGGAATCTAAGAGACCGGCAATCGACGAGACGCGGAGCTCGGGCCTCGTGGGGTGGAGAATGAGGCGGAGGAGGAGGAGGAGACGAGTCGAGAAACAACCGAAGTGAGGGCGACGAGCGTCTCGTATAAGGAAGGGTGGGGGTGGGGCGTTGGAGAGAGAGTCGAGAAAACGGAACGGAAATGAGAGGGGGCAGGCCGGCACCGTTTTATAGCCGACCGTAAGGGATCCCGCAATCGTTACGGATGAGTGATTCGTGACCGTCCGATCTGATGGGCCACGTAAATCGAGGTTTGATGGCGTTCGAAACGAGTAATTGGCGTCACGTGGTAAGAAGGTAAGCGTCGCTGGTGCTTGAACCCAACGGCAAGTTAGTCTGGAAATTTCTGTTGCTCACATTTTTCTCATCCTGTGCGTCAGTCCTTAAAGGTGAAGGATAATAGCATGCTATTTCACATAAAATTTAATTTTTGGGAATTGAAACCGAAATTAAATTTAATATTTTTATTTTTATATAATTCTAAAGCCCGATCATCACCAAACGGGACTCGGTCTCGATCATCGTGATGAATCCTATATGTCTTGATGGCCCAATTAGGGTAATATTTCTGCATCATACAGTCGGATTTGGCCATGTTCGAATTATCTTTTTTATTAAAATATATATCTGAATTTTTTATTATAAAGGCTTAAATTAAGATGTAGCGATATATCATAAGTAAATTCTTATTTTTTATTTTCTTTCTCTTACCCAAATGCCCACAACATCCTAAATAAAATAGCTTTGGTCATTTGCACATTGGAACGATCCATTAAGTGAACAGATTTATTTATATTTATAGTATTGTTGATACATTGATGAAAATACTATAGTCACATTAAAAAAATATGTAACTAATATATAAGTCAAGTTTTTATATTTTTATAAATAAATAAAAATATATTTTTGAAATTGCACCGAGAGTAAGAAAGTACTTTGTATTGTATCTTAAGTTAATATTTATTAATTATATTATCTTTTGTTTAAGTTTACAATGCTATAAATACAATAACAATAACAACAAATTCGTAAGTTCCAACTTATAATATTATGAATATGAGATAAAAATGATATAACAATACTCAAATATATCATATGATAATTTTTTTTTTGTATATTCTAAAATATCAACCAATATATTTGTCTATTTGAAAACAATCATAAGTTAGTTTATATTATATTATGTGTCTTTTTGTATATACTTATTTCTAATATATTCACAAAATAATATGATGTTTTGGAATGTGCAATCTCGTATGTTTTTGGAACCAAGGGAATAAGGGCACCGCTAGATAGAACCAAAGATGAATGATACCATTGGGGAAAAAACCCAAAATGAATAGTTATATCATCCTTTAAATCTTTATAATAATGAAAAATTCAAAAAATAAAACACATGATTCTTTATCTTCACGTAATAATATAAAAAAATGATGATTGAATTATATTGACATTATATTTACGAGACTCAAGAGCATATCTTTCCCATAAGAAAGAATATTTATTTATTCGATCCCTAATTGAAATATTCAAAACGATCACACGATAATTAATCTTATCGATCGAATATTTTTATGATCAACATTTAGGAATAAACATTACAAAATTTTTTCACCCAATATTCCAATTGATAAGTGTAACATTTTCTTAAGGTATATTTTTAGAAAATGTCATGCATTTAATTTTGATGTAATGAAGCTTCAATGAAAGGCTTAATATGTGTATAAGAAGGTTTGGTTCGATTACTAACATGAATGGTATAATTTGGCTATATAACAACGAAATAAAATGTTTAAACAACCAAAACTGAGATCAATAACTTACCATTTGTTTGGTGCATGGAACTTTTGGTTGGAATTGCTCAATGTCCCATCAAATAATTTGATGATGTGAAACCTTCGAGGATTTTAATTATGATGTTCGAAAACATACACAAGTAATGTGCACAAAAGAATATATTTTGGCACATCAATATGAGGACCGAGTCAGGATATTGTCTGCAATCAAACGTAATATTTACGGTAAAAAATAATTAAAAATATCAATTATGTATTAAAAATGTCAAGAAATATTATTAGCGTATCATCGAAGTATTATGAGTAAAACCATTGTTAACTGGTCATCTTGATATACATGAATAAATTTGAATTTTTTTTATAAAACAAATATACTAAACAAAAAGTACAAAATATCTAACTACATATGATTAGATAATAACACCAGATGGCAAGCAGGGTTGATTAAAACAACCATAATTAAAACCCTTATCGATTAATTAATAAAAAATTAAATATAAAGATTCAAGAGAAAGGAGATAGTAGAACTAAAGATAAAAGAAAATAAAAGGCAAGCATAGAACATGTACTCATAAAAGGAATTCAAGATGATAAATTAATAGAATAGATCTTCATATAAAAATATAAAATATAAAATAATATAAAACTGGAGGAGAGTAAAATTTTAAAAGTATTAAAATAAAACAATAAACGAAATATAAAAGGGAAAATATTAAGTGGAAGATAAGAAATAGCACAAAAAGGTTTATGTATTATGAAAAAGATCGACTAAATAGAGAAGGATAAAAAAAATCTCACTTGATAAAAAAAACTTAACATAGATAAAAGCAATATATATTGTATATATATATATATTGCAAATAAAAGAGTTATCTTCATGACTTACTTGCAAAGAATCATTATCCAAATATTGAGAAAAATATTTAAATATAATAAATAATTAATAAAAATTGTTGAAATATAAATATTTTGAAATGAAATACTATAATAAAAAATGTAATCCTTTTTCAGTAAATGATTTTTTTTTTAGGATAAGGGGAAAAAAAACGTCTGTTCTCATTGCTTCTGTCTTTTGTCGTTAGCTCGGACGCTTCGCCAATGTGATGGTGCGAGACAAGTGGGGGACAATAAAGCACGCGTCACTAACAAAAACGCATGCAAACTTATTGCAATTTGATTCATAAAAGAGCATGTATTACCGTCCATCTTACTTGTTTTAATCTCAACCGTCTACTGACCTTATACGAAAAAGGCCAGCAGAACCATATTTATTTAAAAGGACGGTCAAGATAAGAGAGAGTGGGATGGACGGTTTAAATAACCTATACATAAATCTGTTTTGTACCCAATCCAAACAAAAGAATCAATTCGCACGCGTGCTGCGAAATCAATTACTGACAGCGGCCCCGTATGGGTCGACCAACCCGTCATCCGTCACGGGCCCCACCAGTCCCCAATGTAATGGAAACGTTTTGGATCCGAAGCTTTTCCTGTTCTTAAATTCCACGGCGGCGATATCTCCCTGCGGCAACGCATGGCCAATTCTGCCTCTCGCCGATGTGTTCTCCAGCTGGGGCTGCTGCTCCTCAGCGGTGGCTTCTACTTGTCCTCGTCGGCCCCCGAGGATGCTCGCGTCACTTACTTGCCAGGATTCAATGGAACGTTCCCATCGGCTCACTATGCCGGGTATCGAGTACTGATAGAATTAAGGCCTTCTTGGTATTCGTATATTCTCGTTCTTTGATCTTTTTTCCCCTTTTCTATGCGGGGAATAGATTTGTGACTGTAGATGAGGACCATGGGAGGAAGCTCTTCTACTACTTTGTGGTCTCCGAGAGAAGCCCCTCCAAGGATCCGGTGGTGCTCTGGCTTAATGGCGGACCGGGATGCTCCAGCTTCGACGGCTTCGTTTATGAGCATGGTACAACGGTTACGTGAATGCTATTCTCCAGACTAATCCTTACAGAATCTTCTGTTATATTCTCTTATAATTTAAACTCTTGACGTGATGTTTCACTCTCTAGTATCAAAAGTCTTTTGGAATAAATGAGAAGCCAATTTACTCTGAAACTGTAGTTAGCACGGGAAAAACACCAGCTTTTTCAGTATCGTGGATCCTTAGTTTTAGTCTGCATAACAGGTCCATTCAATTTTCAATCGGGGGTGGCGAGTGGGAGTCTTCCACAGCTGCATCTTAATCCTTATAGTTGGTCGAAGGTCCGCCATTTTGATTTGGATTGGGAACTTGGCAATTTTTATGGTTTCCCTGCTTCCTGATCATTCTGATGAATTTTGGATCTCAGGTCTCTAACATCATCTATTTGGACTCTCCGGCTGGAGTAGGAATGTCATACTCGACGGATCAGTCGGACTACAATACTGGGGATCTGAAGACAGCTTCTGATTCACACACCTTCCTTTTGAAGGTGTGAATTAACATATTCAAGTAGTACTTTTAGAAAATAAAAGAAAAGTAGTACTTTGGTCCAGATAACATAAATAATTTTCCTTTCAGACTTCTGAAATATAACAAAACTATATCTGAAATTTGATTTTATCTACATCAGTTGTTTTGTATGCTTTCTCTAGCAGGAGCCTAATTCTTTTCCTTCCCGCATAATTTGATTGTCCATGCAGTGGTTTAGGGAATATCCAGAGTTCCTTGAAAATCCATTTTACATTTCTGGAGAGTCGTATGCTGGAGTTTACGTTCCAACTCTTGCTTCTGAAGTTGTTCAAGGTATGGTACACTATTTTAGAGGATATACACTATTTTAGAGGATATGATTAGTTTCTTCTTCTCTGTCTTTGTTTATTAATCAAAGTCTCTTACAGGAATTAAATCTGGCATGACGCCTACTCTGAATTTCAAGGTCGGAATATGTTGAGCACTTTGTTCTCTTTCTCACCATACACGAAGATATACCTTTAACACCCTTATTCTCCATACAGGGCTATATGGTTGGAAACGGTGTCACTGATGAGGCATTTGATGGTGATGCTCTTGTACCATTTGCATATGGAATGGGTCTTATATCAACCAACTTGTTTCAGGTATTGTTTCACCATGCCAAGTCACTGTGCATTTTCTGAAGCTAATAAGATTCACAATAGGACTTTCTTAATTCTTAATTCTTAATTTCTTATAATGCTGAACTGGATTTTAATCTTAACTTTTAGGTTAACATAGCTATCACTTAGGTGGATATTCATATCTGCTTGTTCATCATGCAATTTCATTTGCTTTTTAACCCAGTTATAAGATTGTGTGCTGCTATTCAGGAGGTTAATACTGCTTGTGAGGGAAGCTACTGGAATCCAGAAAATGAAATCTGTGAAACCAAGCTACAAAAAGTTGATAAGGTTATAATAATTTTTTTATTCTCAATCAATTATTTTTTCCTAATGATACATAGAGCTTTTCATCCTTCATATCCAGGCACTTGAGGACCTCAACATTTATGATATCCTTGAACCATGCTACCATAGGCCTGAAATCAGGAAAGTTACCGTTCGTCATAACAAGTTGCCATCAAGTTTCAGAAGATTGGGGGAGACCAATCGACCGCTGCCTGTTCGAAAAAGAATTTTTGGTCGTTCTTGGCCTCTGAGAGCTCCAGTAAGAGAAGGACATGTCCCGACATGGCCAGAACTTGGTAGTTCAGTTCCTTGTATGGTAAGTACTATGGCATATGTGAATTTGACGAATTTGTCATTTGGCTGCTAAATAATCTTGAGGTTTAGGTTATGAGCCTGTTATTCAGATCTGTCCAATAATTGACATGGATTTTTTCCCCAAATCTGACCCAATTCCAAAGTCCGATCCTTTTCGTAATTCTTCAACAGAATATAAACACAAATACCATTAATCTATATAGTCTATGTTATTTTTAAAATTTATTAGATTGGTTGTATATTTCTAGTTATTTAGACACTATTTTTGTTAATAATGTTATTGTTTTTTGACCTTTTCTCTTTGTCCCATGTTTTTCAAAGTATTTGGTTGAATGAGTTCTCATACCTTCTTGCTCTATATATTGGTCTATCTGTTGTTGCACGGTTAGTACTGGCACAACCTTTCATTTGGTTTCTGACTATTAATAGTCCAATTATATTCACTGATTTACTCTTATATGTGTAAATGTCTTAGAACATGCTTGACTGTGTATTATAACTTTTGTACCCAACCCATCATGATGGCTGGGCATAAATCATCATTATCTTCTTAGTTGTGGGTCATTATTCAATACAAATATTGTTTCATAGCCATGTCTGTATAATTATCCTATATTGTAAATTCATTGATTAGGAATTATACTCATAATTAGCAAAATTTGATACCCCAGATGAAAGATGATGCTGAAAGTACTGGCTTTGGAGAGATCAACATCTACACTTATCTTTAGATCATATTGGTTATCTTGCATCATTTGCGATTCCTAATCTTGACTATTTTGTAGGATGATGAAGTTGCAACTTCATGGCTGAACAATGAAGCAGTGAGATCTGCAATACATGCTCAACCGGTATATGATCCAGAGTATAGATAAGAAGTTATAAGGCAATTAATTACTTAAGTACTAAATTGTTTGTCTTATATTCTTTTGCCTCTCATATGAAACAATTCAGGTAAGTGTAGTGGGTCCATGGGAGTTGTGTACAGATAATATTTCCTTCCAGCATGATGCTGGAAGTATGATCAAGTATCACAAGAACCTTACATATGGTGGTTACCGTGCACTCATATTCAGGTAACTTATCCTTGCAGAAATCTGTGGTATTCTTTTGATATGTTTCAATTAGAACTACAAAGGCAACTTATATTGTTCTGGTGGTGGCAGAGCCGCAGAAGCAGTGATATTTTTTCCATTCAGACCATGTTTAAGTTTCCACAAAGTTGAAATAGTTTCTAGTTTGATTATGCTTTGCATTCAATTGTTTTTGTTTATTTATGTCATCTTGGTGAGATCATGGTAAGAATAACAATCTACTTTGCAACTTCAGAAGTGTCTGGTTCATGCATCTTGCACTTAAATTTGGTATGCACTTCATCCCTCCACTTCTAGGGAAGCCTTCTCCCAGCAAATGTTTTTCTATAGTTGGCAATATGGTCCAAACATAATCCCCACGCCTCAACTTCCATGATCAGTAGTGACACCTTTGATATTACCAGTTAATTTTAAAGCTATTGCTGTTATGTTTTTTTTTTTCCGATAGAAAGCCACATGCAAACCCCACTAACTCTCTGGCTACTGGGGTCTGGGGCACCGATATTCAGCTAATAACCTGCATGTGAGATGTCTTGTCCATGGCTCCAAAGTCATATCTTGTGCATGACTCCAAAGTCGTGGCCTTTTGGTAGAAATCATGTACTATGTGTCATTTCTTTGTATCATTGCTGAATTATTTGCTTAGGTTGAGCTTCTTAATTTCTTATTTTCTTTCTCAAACTTTGTTATTTCTTTATATAATTAGTTTTTTTTTAATTATTATCATTTGATTTCTCAGTAAAATAGGTGTTAACTCTGGATCCTGCCTCAATCATATCAGTGAAAGCTTGAACTATAGATCCTGGCTCAAACTTTGATTTACTTTAAAACCAGCTTCTGTTAAATTTTTTCATTATTTTGGTCTAAAAGTCATGTTAACCAAAAGAACAATCAGTTTGGTTAATTGTGTGATGCCGGCCTTTGATGGCTGACTTATTGCATGTTGTTGATGATACCGGCAGATAATTTTTTCCTAACTTTTATTTGGTTTTTCAAGCTTCTTTCTCATAGACCCCTTTGTCAAATTTTACAATTTCCCACCAAAATTGCAACTTTTTACAAGGATTCACCCATATTTCATTACATGTGCTTTTCAGTCTTGATGATTGTCAATCTTTAGAGATATCATGCCCAGTGCATCTGTGAGCAATGCATGTACCAAAATAATAGATGGTATTGGCTTGGGATTTCTTGGCAATGCTTACAGACCAATTATACATGTTCTTAGCACTCACATGTTTAGTTCAGGATTCCTCTTACCCAATCCAATTAAACTTGGGCTTATAGTAAATCAATTCTATATTGATCAGGGAACATCTAGGATAGCCAACTTAAGTATGATCATCTTGTCTAGCCCTGGCTACCTAACCCCAACCAACTAGGCTAAAGATTGATCATCTCAGATCTGCTAAACCTGAGTCTGATAAGACCTGGAAATTATCACTTGCTAATATCCCTGAACCAAAGGGCCTTTACTATCTTTTAATGCTATCATTAAAACTTCCTATCTGATTCAAATTATCTGCAGAAAGCCATAATGTTATGGTCCTCCTATACCTTCCCAAAAATGTTTGCTAGATCATTGCTTCTTTTGATGAATATTTACCGTTTCTTTTACTTCAGTTGTCGGTTCAACATTTCAAATAAATTGTTTCACCTTCAAATTTAAAAATGATGGCCATTTTCTAGGTTAAATTTTCCAACTGTTTGGATTGGCCTTTGGTGAGATGATGCAATTTTGTTCCTCTGTGGCAGTGGCGACCATGATATGTGTGTACCTTACACTGGTAGCCAAGCATGGACTCGGTCACTGGGATATCAAGTCCTAGATGAGTGGAGACCTTGGTATTTCGATAAACAAGTTGCTGGGTATGTGTTTTAACCTCTTGTCAGTCACTCTCTTACATGCTTAGACACATTAAAATATATGCTTATGGAAAAATTCTTGGTGCATCAGAGTTGATTAGCTTTCAGTTCTTGTATCATGATTTATATTGTAAATGACATGGAAATATTTTCCATAGCATGTTTGAGGGTACAACATTCTCTTTGTCTTCTATAACAAGATCTATCTTGCGACTCCCAAATATGTACCACCATAAATGAACCTAGGGAAAGAAATATCCATTGCATATTTAATTGATTGTAAATTGTTACACTCATTCCTTTGGTCGATTTTTCCTACAGATACACCCAAGGCTACGAGCATAATCTTACCTTTCTTACCATAAAGGTAGGCATGTCAACTTGTTTTATATCCTCAAGTAAACCGTCATTAGAATGATACTGCTGTCAACTAAGATCTGTTTCTTCAGTCATTTGTAATATGCTGGCAATCATAAGTTCCTCTAAATGTGATGATCAGGAATTGCTCCTTACAGTATAGATATTCATTGTCTTTTGATCAGCATAATTTTCTTGCAGTATCTTTCGCTAATACATTTTTTGTGATCTTGTTGCAGGGTTCTGGTCATACTGTTCCTGAATACAAGCCGAGAGAGGCATTGGCCTTCTACGCACGTTGGTTGGCAGGCGGAAGTATTTGAAACAGAAAATGTTCAAATTCCATTGCATTCCTTCATGGAATCATGTGTTTGGTTAAATGTGACCCACAAAATTCGGTGCACCATGAGGAAATTGTTGCAGCTAATTTCGATATGTTTGAATTATAGTTAATCTCTTACAATCCTGCAATGTCAAACTCCAAGGAGACAATTATATTATGTCAGAATGCACTTACTTTTGTACTACATTCCTTCCAGCCATAATTTCTTTGCAGAATGATGCTGATGCTATAATCTTCATGGAGCTTATTCATAACAGTGGTATAACATGAGTTTCCATGCCAAAGCTATGGGAAATGGAACTTAATTTAGTAGGGTTATGCAACATCTAAATTCATGATACTAAGTTTCAAAGGAGAAGTGTATTCCTTTGATGAAGAACTTCCCTTTTTCAATACTTTGATATGTTTTTAAGACATCAATACTGTCTATTCATTCTCTCCCTGCCACTCTGCTCGCTCTCAGCAGTCACTCGCTTCAGCTACAAGGATGAGTTGTCCCACATCAGGCTATATCTCTTCTGCAACTTTCTGGATCAACATCTGCCATATACGAACAACTTGACGCAATTTGTGATCCAGACAAAAAAGGGAGAACAAAAGGGTATATTTACACGTCACTCGATCCACTTGCCAGCTGATCAAATCACATTTATCCATGCTGGCAACCTCATCCAAAGCTGTAGTCTTCTTCGTACAAGATCTGTCAGGACCATCTTGTTGGATCTTATCCTCAATACTTACTAAAAGATTCTTCCTTGCTGTCCTCTTGTCATATCCTTTCTGAACCTGCATAGACATGAAGTGGAATGATCCCAACTCACTAAAGTCGAAATGATACATAATGATGTGCTTGTGGGAAGGCAAAACAATAGCTTTCACAATTCATATAAAGAGCAAGAGATATAATAAATAAATAAATAAATAAATAACATAGTACAGTTTACAGAATACAGAACAATGATCAGAGTAAAACAATGATCAAGTAAAGCATTGATTCCTCAAATTAATTAAGGAGATAACAATTATAACAAACCACATAAACAAGTTGGAATTGTACAAAAACAAATGCAATCCTACACACTGACATTTGACATTTGGAGCTCACGGAGAGATCACCTAGACGTTTGAATACAGTCAGGCTGCTCTTCTCGTGAAAAAAAGGAATTCCAGCTGTAGATTTCTTTAATTAGTCCACGAGACCACTTAAGCCACTGCCAAGCTAGTTGCTAACTTTTGGTGGTGGTTGTCAGCTTCTAAGCAGCAGTAATTTTGGCAGTATAAATAAGGTATGCATTTGGGACACCTCTGTAGAGCACAAACAGTCGCCAACCTGCGTTTGGGTGCCATCATCACGGGAGCGTTGTTGATATGATTGAGATCTAGTTGTCTTTTTCTTGATCTTCCTTATACTGCTGAATCTCGGTGCAAGCTCCGAGTGTGCTAGATTGGTCCAAAGAAGTTGACCCTGCAAGTTCCATGCCATCCAGTGGCCCATCGCCTTCATTTGTCCGTTCAATGGAGGAACCATTAGATGATTCTACATCAAGGAAGAGGCAGACCACAGCACAGTCATCTATCTTTGACGTAGGATACTTGATCCTCCAGGCTCTGACTGCTGTTTCAACAAGATATCGAGCTGCAGAGGACCTTGTAGGAGCAGTATCAACAATCTCTACCACCTCTTGATTGGATAATACATCCCAGACCTGACGAAATCAGCTATAAACATGTAAGGTTAATTCTTCAAAAACATGATGGCATCTTAGTCATGTTAATTTGATAATCATAGAGAAAGCATTTAACACTAAGTTCAGGAATTTTGCTGGATACATGGAAATAGGGTCATGGGAAATCATAATCCATCTCACCCCATCGGTGGCCAAGACGATAAACTCATCTTTTTCAGTGACACGTCTATATGTAATCTCAGGCACAGAAATCAGGCCAAATTTTTTCAAACAAAAATCACCGAGAGCTCGTGCCATGGCTAAGCCTGGGGAATCGATATTAGGGAGCCAAACCCGAGCCACCTCCGGCTCATCCCGGAGAGCAAAGACACGGCCCCTACAACGCCTAATTCTTTCCGCTTCCCCTGTAAAAGAAAAGCACAATGTTTGCATTGAAACATCCATAGGAGAACAAATGAACAAATTAAACAAGTAGCAAACTGATGATAAAAAAACAAATGGCAATCCTCATCCATCTAAGAAGTTGCTCAAATGAGAGGAAATACCAAAATAGAAGAAGAAAAAGAGCAAGACCAATGGCTAGGTCCATCCAAATACATATAGTTAGCAGTTATCTTATGCATCAAAATCAGCTTTTTTGAGGTTTTAAACAAAATTATGTAATATTTAGAGAACAACAACGAAGTACTCTCAAACAAAGTATCTTATATCAAATCTGGTGCTCAATGTAATCGTATTTCTAAAAATATGATTTCTTTTCCATCTGCCAATGACAATCACATGGATGATATTTGATCAAATAGTTTTACAAGATTGTCCCATTTGAAAAAACAACCCATCATAAAAATTGTGCCACAGAACGAATGACTTGTCACTTTCCGCCACTTATAAATGTCATAAAAATTTATAAGGAAAAGATGAGGAATGAAGTCATCCGTTTAACCCTCACCGAAACAGAAGATATTTCTTTAAAAATATACCCATGTAGATTTGTCAAATTATGCATTTGCCCCTCTATGTACCTACTTTCATAAATACCCTTATAAATTGAAATTATTAATACCAATATCCTTGTGATCGATAGACATTATAGCAACAGAAAGAGCCATCAATCACACCAGATGACTCTCAACTGTCATAATGTTGAGACTAGAACTTCTGAAGATATATAGAAACTTCTAGAAGGCACCTATGCTAAAATTTACTTCTGTAAGGGTAAACATGAAGAGTACTAAGTGGAAATTCAAGACATTTTGCAGCTTAGGTTTGCAGTAACTGACATTTAATTAGACTTAGTTTGGTACATATGGACGGAATGCGAATAAGGTATTGGTGCACATAAATTGTGTTATTAAGGTATCTATGCAAGATATTTTTGGAGGAGCAATTATGTAATTTGTCAAATTTGCAGGAGGATACACACACACACACACACCCCATTCAGGATGTAGGTATACCGTATAACACTACTTATGAAGATATAACCATTAATCCATCACTGTCTGTTCACTTTGCAAAGTATCTTATTAAAACAATGTAAATAAAAAATTGGATGAGGCTCCTTTCTAATTATCCATAAATGAGTTGAAAATGCACCTAAAATATGATAGAATTTGAGAAATCATCAATCACCGAAGCAATCATTGTCTAACAGTCGCTCCAAGGGAATCTCACGACAGGTAGAACAAGAGAGATGATCAACAACATTTACCTACATTTGTAATAAGTATTCATATAGTCATCCTATTATTAAAATAAATAGTTCAAATGACAGGCATCCTCGTAGTCACAAATTATTGAATATAGTCATCTTATAGATTCAAACATCACAGAAAGTATAACAGCCATCTCTGTTGATAGCTGTCCAAAATGGACTACATAAATACACATGCCAATATGAGGGAGTGCGTTTATATAAAACATGCATAAGCATTATTTGAATTATGAAGAGTCAAAAAACAAAGGAGGAGAGGAACATACTGGGAAGATTTGGTTTGAGGTCCACAGTCAACTGAACTGGAATCAAGGAGTTATTATGATCTCTAGTGCCCAGTACTGCTCTTGAGTCTCCAACATTTCCAATGACAAGATCTTGGCCCTAAAGATGGATGAAACAAATATTATCACACAAAAAAAAAAAATCTAGCATTTGTTCAGAACTAAACATAATACATTGATACTTCATCATTCATTAAAAACTAAGATGGAAGCTAATAGCTAATAGCTTATAGTTAACCTGCTTGACCAAAGTGACTGCTGTTGTCCCACTATAAATGCACTCAATATCAGGATGCAATCTCAATTCTTTATCCACTACCCTAAAAGCTTTTAAGAACGAGTCTTCCAATGTTGTCAAGGTTTCTGAATCCTTGTCCGTTTCTTCAAAACCAGTGAGAGCTCTGGATTCTTCATTGAGGAACACAGATGATGTTTCCTCTGAAATCACGCTACCAGGATTGCCGATATTGTTCTCTATGACCTCATCATTTCCTGTATTTGCTTCCCAACTGGCACACAGCTTTAGAGGGAGAATATCTCTCACTTTCCTTGCCACCATGTGGCCGTTTGGACCATGACCATCAAAAACTCCACAAAAAACAGTGTCACTTCTATTGCCAAAATTCTGCATGCAAAAGATCAAATTGTCCAGAGAATATAAGATAATGCCATTGTACAAAAAAAAAGATAATTCCAAACCATTGAAGAGCAGGAAGCAAATGGTCTTCGACATGTACCATATGCTAAAAAGCAATACCTAACAAATGATAAAGTAGGAAAAAAAATGATGCAGCCCATGGATTTATGTTATAAACGGTTTAGAACCAAAGTACTTGTGTTCAAAACTTGATTACATATTCTGTACAATAAATTGCGGTCATTGACATCCAAAAGAGCTCTTAAATCCATTTACATCAACTGAATGCATACCACAATCATTCAGTTATCAAAAGGGAAAGTTTACACTTTACACAACCAATATCGATTGAACAGAAGCAAAGAACACAAGCATTCGATCATAACAAAGAAGCTATTTAATAGGCTGAATCAGTATTTTATGAGATTTATTTCCAGAATGCTTCTGAAGAGCAAATTAGGCAAAAAGGGATACCTACAAAAGCCAATAGGAGCATTACATGGAAAACGTAGAGACAAAGCATCACCTAACATGCAATAACAGCGACTCAAATGTATAAATCCAAATAACAGCGGAAGGAATCTGAACTAACCTCCCACACGATCATGGCGTCCTGATTGGTCCCCTTCTTGCCCTGCTGGGTGAACAGAGACGCGGCACTGGATGCGCCATTGAGGAACATCCTCCCGGGAATCCCATGGAGTTGCTGCTCCTCCTCCGACAAGCCACGCGGCCGCTTCCTCGGGCCCCTCCGATGCCGCCTGGCCCCTGTCGCCGGGGACGACGGTCGAGAGTCGCTGCTCCGGCCATCCGACGACAGACAGGAACCCATCGGAAGGGCCCTGATCACATCCAGTATGCACTCCAGAGCAGCCAGGCAGCGAAACAAAGCGTTTCGGATTGGCGAATCCGTGGAGACCCCACGAAAGTTACGCCCCGCTGACGCTCCTCGATCCGATCGATCCAATTTCTTCCCCCGCTCAACTTTGTCCCTTTTCTGGAATTTTTTTCTTGGAAAAATCGATCGAATACGTGAAGGCTTGAGATTGACAGACAGCAAACGAGAACATCATCGTCAACAACAACAACATATGAAAAAGACGAATGCGCCTATATGATCACGTAAAAGGAAGGATTTTTATTCGAGAAGGATAGGGGCGGATTGCAAGACACACAACAACAATCAAAATCTAAATCTTGAACGGAACATCACAACAACAACAACACAGAAACAAGCAATAAATTCGTGCGCAGGATTCGTTCTTGGGGAAAAAAAGAAGAAGAATTTTCCTGAAAAGAAGGAAGTGAAGAAAGTTATGATATGCAAAGCAGGAACAGAACGAGGAGGAGGTGGAGGTGGGAAGAAGGATCTATTCTCAAAGTATCGGCTTTTAAAGGGGTTGAGGGTAGAAGGCAAAGGCAGATTCCATCCCGTTCCTTCCTGTTTACTCCTTCCCTCTTAACCTTTTCCTCTTCATCGTCTTTGTCTTCCGCCTTCGTCCAATTCCGCGGCTCTAATGCTTCCCCTTATTCCCGTTCTTCTCTTCCCCTCTCTCTCTCTCTCTCTCGGTTGATACTTCTGGTTATTATCCACCCTGGTTTATCTTCTTTGTCCCCGGGCGAGGCAAAAAGTTGTTTCCTTGTTTTCTAGAGGTTATCCTAATTCGGGCATATGAAGTTATGGCCGCTCCCGTTCCTTTCCAATACGACCGAATCAACCCGAAAAGTTTCAGGGATGACGCCACCTCTGACGTGTGGGGTCCACAACGGAGGGATTGATACACTCCCGATACTTTCCAGGGGTGATTCGGTCTCGCCTGGTAGCCCATGTATTACCGTGGTTGCCAAGGGCACGTGCCGGAGGCCTGCGTGGTTAATGGGTATGTGGAGATCCGACGGTGATCCTATCCACTAATCGTGGATTATCCTCGACGACTCGATCTCATTTATCACCTGACTAATTTGCATTGTCGTGGATAATGATGAATACGAATATATTAGATTTTGCCTATTATAAACAGGTTGGTGTGGAAACCAACCATGCAAATTAAACCTCCGTGAACGATAAAGCATCGACAGTGTTACGCACTCCCTTAATCACTGGACTCGTGAAACGTGATGATGGCCGCCCGTTGATGTGAAGACGATAAAGGAAACGACTCATCACGAGATCCACTTGCTTCCTCGGCCACAAAAGACGGGAAAGTGGTGCGCGCCAAGATCTACTGCACGAGGGAGGTAAGAGACGAGTCATTGGTGATTTGGCTAAATGCGGAAGGAGATTTGATTTACATGGTTAAATAGATAACCTACTATTAATTTAAGTTTAAGCAGTTTAGAACAATGATCGACTTATCAAGACGTCAAGCCTTCTCTCTTAGAGATAATTCAATGTTTTGGGAGGTGTAATTTCAACTCGGAGTGAAGTTTTGGGCCACTCATAGTTTGGGCTGGCTTTGGATGGGCCTTAGCTAATAAGAATAGTGTGTATATATATATATATATATATATGCGAATTTTAAAAAAACTAATCACTACCACCTTGAAAATTTTATATAAAATACATCTCGTATAAAAAGATCATATTAACTGTGACTCTATTGCCTTCACCTTAGACAACTACCTCCAATCTATCACTCATACTATATTATGATCCTCACACAAAAAAATGAAGAGGCATAGAGATGAAAATGAGTTTGATGAGAGTTAAGAAGGTGACGATAGCCTTTACACTATCTCTTTTCTTGTGTGAGGACTACGGAACAAGATATAAAAATGTGCAAACGATAGAGTCTCCATAAAAATTCATCATCGCCTCGACATCTCCCTCCTTCCTCTCGTGAGGGCTATAAGCAAGTATGACGAGAGTGAAGACACTGAGAAGTTCGACGGGACAATGTTAAAATAATTTTTAAAAAAATTATAATATTTTTAAAATAAATACGTTCCGTGAAAAAATTTTATAAGTACGAATTTTTTTTTGGAAATTTGCCTTGTGTATATATTTTTATAAAACTAAACATATAAATTATATATATATATATATATATATATATATATATATATATATATATATTATTACATATGCTACTTGTTTTCCTGAAGCAAAGAAGGGAGAGTTCGACTCCGGTGGGAGCTCCTCCGACTCCGCCGCTCTCTCGCTTCCTATGGCGCCTCCGAAGAAATCCAAGAAACCCAAACGCAAGGCGAAGGATCCATCGAAGCTCGGCGACAGATCCAACGCCGCTCATGTGGAGCTCAAGGCCGGGGACACAGAGTGGTGGTACACCTTCTGGCACAAGAACGGTGGCTCGCCCGGTACGTCCACGATTCCGTTTCCTGACATTCTGCTAATTAACCAGGCCTTTCTGATCATCGGTTATTTCAATCGCTGTGCTATGATCGTCTCGAGATGCATCCTTGTGAATGCTGCAGATTAGGGTTTTTGGATTGCTCCTTGTTTGCTTGCATATGGTGGCTGCTGTCGAATTGATGAATTGAAGTTTGCCCACGTAATTGCAGATCTCTTCAGTTTTAGTCTCTTGGTCTTTAGGTAGATGGCGAATGCATGATGGGACTGCTAGGGTACCTGATAGGTGGCATTTTCATATATTTTTGCGACTGCTAATTACTTGATTTCCATGTTGCGAATCTAGTAATCATGTGATAGTTCAAACATGGCAGCTGGTGTAAGATAGTTCCAAGGAGAAAGATTAAGTTCGTGAATCATAAAGTTTCATAAATCTGTTCTAGTTTGGTTAAAGAAACAATATATACGTATATATCTTAATGTGAAAAATGAGAAGGAAGGAAGATTCTGTGTTTTAGAATTTTCCTAATTGGGGCACAACACAGATGCAGTGAGTTTAATTTCTTGACCAATTTAAAATTTACTCCATGTAAGTGTGAGAATCTTTTAGAATAATAAGCTTAAAATTTCCACACTAAAGAATGCATTCTCAGTTATCAGTCTTACAGTGAGGCTTTGAATTCATGGTCAATCTTTCTTGAAGTAATCTGGTTTTTGAGAGATGATGTCATTACGGTGTGCTGCCGTTCTGAGACTTCAGTGGCTAATCTATCAATAAAATCATAGATATTATTTTATGAACCTTATTCTCATTGCTGATAATTAAAGTAAATAAAGGTAAAAGCGGGAAAGTAAGAGAAAATAGGTGGGAGGAGATAAAATGGAGGGGGTGAAGCCTGTGCTCCAGCTAAAACTTATTATAGATGATCCCTAAAGCTTTTTACACTGAACCACTGTTCCACCCCAATCAGGAAACAAAACGCAGGTCTCTAGAAGAATAATTAGCTTATCGGGATATACTTTGGTACACATCATTTGTCCCTTATTATGTTCCAGCTAATAAGTTTGTATAATATGATATATCCAGTAAAATACAACAAACATTTCATCTATTTAGCTATTATTTAGCTTATGAAGTCCCAAATCCTGTTAGGATGCAGGAACACAAGCAGCAAACATACACAATTGCTGGAGCAGACAAACACTTCTAAATTTGAAAATACAGAGTCCAAGTCCAACTATAATTATACTTCAACTTTTGTTAATTAACTCATTAAAACTGAAACTAATTAACTGTATTGAACTAAATAAAAGCTTCACACTTGGACTTGATTAGCACTTCAATCAACTCAAAGCTAGACCTATGCACACATTCATGACACATTTTTTTCTTCCTTCATCTAATCAATGACAACTCTGCCGACCTTGCGATGTCTTCTGATTTCAAAAAGTCCCAAGTCTGAGCGATGTTAGCTTTTTTGCTGTTAATATGCCTTCCAACTTATCCATCATCTGGAACAATTTGTCTAATTTCGTACCTGCACTTTCTGTAATTTTTTTTCTCCATATGCATGTTTTTTAGATACTATAATCGGCTTATATACTTCTTGGGAATGTGAGGAAGCTTTTTTATCAGATAATCCACCTTGCAATCTTGTTATAACAACTATAGGATGGGTTTCGATCTCAACCCTATGATATTCTTTATGAATAATTTAATATTGTTGTAAACCTTGGTTGGAAATATAAACTTTATCACGTGTCAGATATTAAAGACCGTCAGTCTGGACTCTAATACTAATCCTTTAACCCTGTCACACGACATGCAGGGATCGCTATTCCTTCTGATGAAGACGAAGCTTTCAAGTATTTCTTTCGGGTGTCAAAGAAGACTTTTGAGTACATATGTTCACTTGTGAGACAGGATCTGGTTTCAAGGCCTCCTTCAGGTCTTATAAATATTGAAGGGAGGCTTCTAAGCGTCGAGAAGCAAGTTGCCATTGCAATGAGAAGATTAGCATCTGGTGAATCCCAAGTATCAGTTGGTGCCGCCTTTGGAGTTGGACAATCTACTGTTTCTCAAGTCACATGGAGATTTATCGAGTCCATGGAAGAGCGAGCCAGACATCATCTCAGGTGGCCTGATGCAGACAGGATAGAGCAGATCAAAACCAAATTGGAGACAGCCTTTGGATTGCCTAACTGCTGTGGAGCCATAGATGCAACCCATATTATAATGACGCTTCCTGCAGTGGAATCATCAGATGATTGGTGCGACCAAGAGAGCAATTACAGCATGTTCTTGCAAGGAATCGTGGACCATGAACTGAGATTCCTTGACATTGTGACCGGTTGGCCTGGAAGCATGACTATTTCTCGCCTATTGAAGTGCTCAGGTTTTTTTAAACTCTGTGAGAGTGGGAGGCGGCTAAACGGTCCTATTAAAATGTCTTCAGAGAAGGCAGAGATCAGAGAATTCATCGTAGGAGATGCAACCTACCCCCTTCTTCCTTGGCTCATGACTCCATACGAAGGCAAAAACTTGTCCTCTTCAATGATCGGCTTCAATGCCAAACAAAAGGCTGCAAGGTTGCTTGCAGCGAGGGCGTTGTCTCAATTAAAGGGTGGCTGGAGGATCCTACACAAAGTCATGTGGAGACCAGATAAGCACAAGTTACCTAGCATTATACTCGTGTGCTGTCTGCTTCATAACATTATCATTGACACTGGCGATGAGTTAAACGCGGATGTTGCTTTATCGAACCATCATGATGCTGGTTACAAAGAGCAAAGCTCTCAGCAGGTCGATTCCCAAGGTAAGGCTATGAGAGAGACCCTAACCAGACATTTGTCGCATGGTGACATATCGTGTTGAGCCAAAATGTCTCAAATGATAATTTATGCACTCTTGTACCGATATCGATTTAGGTGCTGTTGAATTTCATAACCGTACACCAAATATGAAACTTTTGGCCACGGATAGGCTGATTCTTGCTTGATTGCTGCTTGCTGTGAGAAGATGAGTTCTGTTTCTCATTTTACTTTTCTCGTTTAATTCTTTGTTTTTAGTAAACTGAGGGTTAGAGGAGAAACCGATAGTTAAAATTCAGCTTGATCTTAGATCAAGCTGAATTTAATTTAACATTTATGTTCTCAAATCGTTATCTATTCTGAATTTTGTGCTCACCATGCGATCATACCATTGACTGCAAGAATAAAGAAAGATACAGCACTGTGGGTGATGATCATATACGAATATTAGACAAAGAAGAGCTCTCATAACCAATGTTTGTCCCACCAAAAAAATCTCTCTACGATCCACAGATCATTGATCGTAGAGGTACTACGTGTTGATTGCGTTTCTAAATGCTTATTTACGTGTAGGTCATTCCTCTTATTCGCCTATTGATTTTGTCAACTCACATGAACCTTTTTTTTCGCATTTTAATGCGTGATAGTAATTTCATCGTCTATTTTCATAATATTTTTCATCCTACAATAATAAGATTACTCCTTTGTTGATCATTGTCTCACAAAAATTTGAAGCCTCCATTGAATCAATCAATCACATCTTTGGATATGACCAGAAAGAAAAGTGGACGTCGTTGCTTTGATAATATTGGCAGTCTTTTACAGAGAAACAATCGAACCATACATAACACATTCCACATAAAACAGGAGCGAGAACGATCACACGCGCATCCTTTTTTTCTATATCTGCACTCGTACACGATGCTATTATCGGTTGTTTGACGACAAGCTTGCACTTCAACACGAACCTCTCGATCGCAACGACGCCAGCGAGGAGTACATTCCGAGCTTTCTTCTGTATATAGTCTTTGCATCGTCCTCTCTTCTTCCTCTCCGTGATAACTCGGCAGTCGCGAGCGGGATCCAAGGCTGCTCCTCCACAGAACCAATGGGGGAATTGGATGAGATGAAGGTGCATGCCAAGGAGATGGTCCGCCTGATCAAGAAGGGGATGAAGAAGGTCAAGACCTCCTGCAAGAAGGGATGGCGCAAGGCCAAGAATGCAGCGGCTACATGGAAGAAGCTCCCCTCCCCCATCAAGAAGAAATTGGTGAAGAAGGGAAAACAGTCTTTCCACGAATAGCGTGCTTCTGATCTCATCATCTTCAAGCAAATCCATGTGGCTTTCTTTCTCTTAGTCCCTCTCTCTCTCCGTTGTTGCAGCATGTATGTATGTATTCCTGCCATATTTCTTCGTCTCATCAACAATATTTTATATGATATAATGACATTTGAGGTCCATTTCTTTATATCATATGTCTTGGGATTAAAACCTGAGAAGGATTAAATTCCATCCGATTAAAATTAAAATGTATAATATATTTTGATTCCAATATCAAAATATTTATCGTAAACGTATTATGAGATTCAGTCATCGTAATATAAATTCTATTATATTTTTCATTGGCTCTAACATGACCTTAGTATGTTCTATTATTTTGATCAATTATTTGAGTCTGTATATTTTATATATTTTAAAAAATATTAATCTATATTTGACTTTCAACATAATTATTCAAATAATCAAAAAAGTAATATGTAAGTATTTTTTTTAATTTTTACAGGAATATATATGTAAAATAGCTAATTTTGTAGGGATATACAAATAAGTTCAGCCGAAACATAGGTAAGCATGTGACCTGGGTTTGAGCACGTGACAAGAGAAGGATCCAATGTAGCCCATAATATCCTCAAATCACATTCACTGCAACGCCAGCTGTCACAATAAACCCCGCAGCCACGCCCCCAAATTCTGCACAGCGGCGACTTCCCTGTGTTCCCGGATGTCCAGCAGGATCTCGTCCATTGCCAGTACGAACTTTCAAAACACAATGCTCATCGCACCCGTCAATTTGTCTGACCGTGAGGGAATCCCTCCGTCGCTGCGTTGGACCCACATGATGCGGTGGACCCATCTAAAATGTGCGCTGGAGAGGATCCGACATCCAACTTCCCAGATGCAGATTGAGATCCCGTCCATTACCAATCGGAAATTCCAAGGCACAGTGCCAATTGAAACCGTCAAATTGTCGGCTCGTAAGACTGTCCATCCGTCGATATGTCGTGCCCAGGGGATAAGGTGGACTCTTTTAAAAGGTTCGCTGGAGAGGATCCGTTCTCAAGCCGGAACGCCGCACCAGCCCGGACCAGTCAGGACAAGCAGGTATTTAAATCCTGACCGAACCCTAAAATTAAATACCCGCTTGATCTCCTCTTTTCTCTCCTTCTTCTTCGGCGTTGAGCTCTTCGGCATTGTTGTCTCCACTGCCGCCAACCTAAAACCCTCGGGGAACCGATCCAGAACCCTAGCTGGGGGTCAGCGATTGGTTCCCTCTTGCCGCTGGCTGATAAAGATCCCGGGATCCCGCCGCCATGGATCTCACCGGCCTCGCCGTTGTCCTCCGTTCCGCGCTCAGCCACATCCCCGAGGAGCGGAAGGCCGCGGAGGAGAGCCTCAACCAGGTGTGTTCCACGCCCTCCTGTCTTTAACCGGTTGGTCTTTTGAGTTATTGGTCGTTTTCCGACGTTATCGGTGGGCTGCAGTACCGTGTGATCCACGGCGATTGCGCTTTCTTGTGTTGGCTTAGTGATGAGGTTCTTACCAGCCTGATCGCTTCTATCCTTTCGTTGATCTAATGGGGTGTTGAAGTATATAGTTCTTGATTGGTTATTGATAATCACATCGTCTCGTGTTGCTTTTCCCGTTGTTAAGGTATTGTAGTGCGTTGCATTCCATAAACTTTGTGGGTACTTCGCAGCCGTACTTGCCATTTGGAGTATCATATAGACTCATCCGTCCTTTAGTTCTGACCCGAGCTCCATGATGTTAACAAATGAATGTGTATATTATCAGGGGATCATGCCTTTGCATTTTCTTTATTTTCATCCATTGCAAACATTTGATGCTATCTGACAATCCATCAATGGTCCTTGTATTCACATATGCAAAGGTGGAAACACAGAATTATGCATACTACAAGCGGTAGCCTCACACAAGACAGTTATTCTGGTTGTGGTTGTTTTTATATCTTTTTTGTTTGCTATACTAAATTCAGCTTTTCTTTTCAACAGTTACAATATATGGAGCAACATTTGGTGAGGTTATTGCTGATCATAATTGATGGTGGTTGTGATATGGCTGTACGACAAGTGGCCAGCATTCATTTCAAAAACTTTGTAGCTAAAAACTGGTCACCTCATGAACCCGGTATGGATGAGGATTTCCATGTTAGAACTTATAAAACTTGACTTTGGTGCAATATCTTGATGTTATTGATAATTCCAGGGGAGCCACAGAAAATATTAGAAAGTGATAAGAGAGTTGTCCGTGATAATATCCTTCGATTTATTGCTCAGATTCCTCCTTTGTTAAGGTATATCATTTAGTGATTTTTGGAAATTTAAATATTTTCCAAAATGTCAATTTGTACTTACCCCTGATAGTTTTCTGGTGTAAAATTGTAACTTTTTGAGGAAAATTTTAATGGAAATATTTCATGGACACCCTCAAACATACATATGCACATTTGCTAATGAATTACAGATCTAATGAAAATTTGAACTTAGTGGGCAGGTGCATAATTCGGTAGGCTTAAAGGTGGTAGCATACAACTTTGCCTCCTACATACATGCAATTTCTCTCTTTTATTTATATGTAATGTACTATCTATGCGTATTTCATGCATAAAGTCTAGTACTCAGCTCATTTTCTGTTCTGAATGAATGTTTTAATATCCCCCAGACACTCAGCTACTTTCTTAGGCTTTATCATCAATTCATTACGTTTTAGTTGGCATGTAGTTCGTGCTTGTTAATGTATGTATTGCTTTTAACCTTTAATGCTCGCTTCTTGAATCTTCCCATGCTTGTAGTTTTATTATATTTCTTTCCATTTTCTGGACTATATTTAATTGTTCGATTTGATTTACCTTTGTCGAGGGCAATCTAATAAACATCTTTATAATTGCTGGGGATTGCCTGCTGTGATGTTGTTGCTTGTTTCTTTAGTCTTCCTAGCTTTTTTCAAGAGCTATGGAGGAGAGTTGCATGGTACATCTACATATCACTGTGAAATTCCATGTTGATGCTTTCAACATCTACATCTCTATCTTGTATACTTCTATTTTCTATGAACATTTTGATTTCTTTCCAGTGTTTATTAGCATGTAAAAATATATGATTTGTCTCTAATGTATTGAAAATTTGTTCTAATATTTAGATTTTCATCACAGAGCACAACTTGGAGAATGCTTAAAAACTATCATCCAAGATGATTACCCAGAACAGTGGCCAAGTCTTCTTCACTGGATAAAGTGCAATTTACAATTGCAAGATCAGCAAGTATTTGCAGCTTTATATGTATTGAGGGTTTTGTCTAGGAAATATGAGTAAGTATAGCTGCTGACTGAAAAATGTTTCTTCATTTGCCTTTCCACTTCATACTTTTTCTTATTGATTAATTCATTGCGATTTAATAAAAAAAATCAACCTTGTGATTTTGATGATACAAATTTAATTTTGATTGATGTTTGGTGAGTCCTGAAATCGAGGTAAGAGTTTCAGTATTGGAGAGGAAAGATTTCTGTTTCGTTGAAACTCTCTCTTTGTGATAGTTGGCCTGGACTACCACTGTATGATGCCATGATTCCATCAAGATTGACACAGTTTAAGTAGCAGCAAATTTAGAAGAAAGATATTACAGTCAGCATCATAGATTAGATTTTATACTTCGCAAGTGGCCTAACTGCATCTGGAATAGAAAATTCCCAGAAGGGGTGTCAAATATATGTTGGGCCACCCATTTTACTTTTTTCATTATCACATTTATGTTGCAACAATTTTGAAAAAGAAAGATGGTATCATCAGCTTCCTACTTTAAAATTGATAGCTTATTTAGAATTAGATGTCAGTCCACTCTGATAAGAAGGTATTGTAGCTTGATTTGTTATGGAGTATGTGCCAAATTTTAAAATGAAAGAAGAGAGCTAGGCAGCAGGCACTTGGCTGATTGTTTACTATCTTGATATTTTTCTAATCTTCTATCTCATTCTCCCATTCCTCTGTTTTCTGCAGTTAAAGCAGATTAACAGCAGATTTGCATGTCTGATATTATTTGTTATTTGGTGTTTAAGTAGTAGCTTAAGAAATTCCATGTTGTTGCTGAAAATTGAAATTGAAGATGAAAGGCTACTATTATAACAAAAGGTGACACATTATGGTTGGTGTTTAAATGTAGAGATTCTCTGGACCGCACCCAATATGAGATTTCAATTCTTTGCCTGATATTTACTGATGTGTGTACAAATTTGTCAACTCCAAACAAGTGTTTAAGAGCATAATGTCTTTGGAACATTTATACATTTCTATATGTTACTGAAAACATAATTAAATAATTTAAAATTATAGTGGATGACTCAATTGCAACAGTTTATTGTCAAAGAATGCTACTTTACAAGAGATGCTATTTTTGGATGACACACGACTTGACTGGCCTTTTCTTTTTGTTCTAAGGTTCAAGTCTGACGATGAGCGGACACCACTTCATCTCATTGTTGAGGATACATTTCCTCTGCTGTTGAACATATTCAATAAACTTATTCAGATTATGAACCCCTCAATTGAAGTAGCTGTTCTTATCAAGCTCATATGCAAAATATTCTGGTCATCTATATATGTGAGTTTGTCAAACAAATTTAGTTTCTGTTCAGAGAACATTGTTTAATTTTTTTTGCTTTAAATGCTTTTCAGTTAGAGATTCCACAAAAGCTACTTGATCCCAATGTATTCACTGCATGGATGGTTCTATACTTGAATTTATTGGAGAGACCTGTTCCTTTGGAAGGTCAGCCATGTGATCCTGATCTAAGGAAATCTTGGGGATGGTGGAAAGTTAAGAAGTGGACTGTTCACATATTAAATCGTTTATATACTAGGTGAGAATTTTAGTTGCTGAAATGTGAAGCATGATCTTTCAATCATCTTCAGTTTATTTACTTGTGAAAAATTGCTAAAAGGTTTGGAGATCTGAAGCTTCGGAAGGCAGAGAGCAAAGCATTTGCTCAAATGTTTCAGAAGAGTTATGCTGGTAAAATTTTGGTATGCCACTTACAGTTGCTTGGTGTTCTTCGTACAGGCGGTTATCTGCCTGATAGGATTATCAACCTTATACTTCAATATCTCAGCAGCAGGTTTGTCTTGCTTTGCTCTCCCTAGTTGCTTGTTTGTTAATTTCAGGGGGTTAAGTGGTTGAATTGCCTTATCTTGTAAATTATTTCTCTGTTATAATCTTTTTGAAGCTGTGCCATCTGCTAAATACAATTTCCACTATCTATGCCTCCTTGAATCTGGTACTCAATCTTATATATTGAGGTCAAAGGCCTTGTTCTGGAATTTCTGTGACTTTTGAGGAAGAGATCTTTGTAAAACAAGGAATATTTTCTTGAATTTTTTAAAATGAGAAATAACTGTTGGGGCAGTCTACGGGTGGCATCTAATTAGAAAGATGAGAAGAATTCCAGTTCTTGGCTCGATTTGAATGCATTATTCTCATTGAAGCATGCTTGATTTACCAAATAGGCGACTTATAAAATTTTTATCTATAGCGTGGAGAAATCTTATATAGATTCTTTATTTTTGGCTTTCCTGATTGGAATATCTCAGTGACATTTCTTATTCTGAATATATTATTTTCTATATCTGTTACCTTTTCTTCTTCTTTGATGTTGTACATTCCAGGACAGAGTATTAAGTAAAATCATATATGTAATAATAATATAAATCATGTAATGAATGCCTTTGTTTCTTGGTTGGCTGTATGTTATGATGACTGCAGATTGCTATTTGTCAAACCCTTTTTTGTTGGCTTCATGGTTGGGCATTTTTATAGTGAACTCTAGGTTTTCTTGTGGAATCATATTTCTCTTTGGTAATGGAAATATAGTTCTTTTGGTTTCTTATCTTACAACACATTCTTTATCTGGGATGCAAATTTGCTTTAGTTCTCTTGGATGATACATTCAGATTGCTTATTTTTTTGGCTGTTACTTTAATGCTATTTCCAGCATGTCGTTGTCCTCTTAGTTTTGTGGTTGCAGATAGTTTTCTTAACTATTATGAACTAGCTCAATTGCATTAATGCTCTGCAGTGTTTCAAAGAACAGTATGTATCAGTTGCTGCAACCACAGCTTGACATTCTTCTTTTTGAGATCATCTTTCCTCTGATGTGTTTCAATGACAATGATCAGAAGTTATGGACTGAAGATCCACATGAGTATGTCAGAAAGGGTTATGGTGAGCTTAGACTCTGTTCTGTACTGAATATGGTATTCTGTGAGATATAGATTCTGAATAGCATCTTTGAATTTAATATAGACTAGTATCATGTAGTTTTCTTTATTCCAGATATTATTGAAGATCTATACAGTCCTCGAACAGCAGCCATGGATTTTGTGAGTGAATTAGTGAGAAAACATGGAAAAGGGAACCTACAGAAACTTATTCATTTCATTGTGGAGATTTTTAAGAGGTTGCTTAACTCGTTGGTCCTTTATATCCTCTTGTACTTGTTCTCTTCATGGTTCTTTACATATTTTATATGATTACTTGTACCAGATATGATGAGGCACCTATTGAACTTAAACCATATCGTCAGAAAGATGGTGCTCTTCTAGCTATTGGAACATTATGTGATAAACTGAAGCAATCCGAGCCTTACAAATCAGAGCTAGAGCGGATGTTAGTTCAACATGTTCTTCCTGAGTTCTCAAGTCCTGTTGGTCACCTTCGAGCAAAGGTTACACCTCTTTTCCTATTTACTTAATCTCTGTGCTTGGTGTTGGGTCATGTTTCCCTCTTTTGTTTCTGAACATCCAAGCACTACTATTTTTCCTCCCAGAGTCAAAAATTAATTTTACATACCAATCAAATTTATCAGTGGCATTGTCTGTTGCTGCTTGTTCTCATGCCATGCTAGTGATGCTTTTACGAGACTTATACTATTGCCTAACTATTCTTTGTGCCGTGTTGCTGATTTACAAAGTACCATTTTCTTATCGTGATTTTTTGGGTAGTTTATTTTTATTTTTCTAAAATTAAATCAAGATTTCCATTTAATTGTTAATATCAAAACTTTTGAATTTATGGATCTATTTGATTGAATACTAGGCAGCATGGGTTGCTGGGCAATATGCACATATCAACTTCTCTGACCAGAACAATTTTCGGAGAGCCTTTCACTGTGTTGTTTCTGGAATGCGGGATCCAGAGCTTCCTGTGCGTGTTGATTCAGTTTTTGCTTTGCGCTCATTCATTGAGGCTTGCCAAGGTATGCTTAAGCTAACCTTACCTGTAACCTAATTCAGTGGAATTTTTATTGATTTATCATCTGAAGTAACTTTGAGTTATGTTTTTGGTGTAGATCTAAATGAGATCCGACCAATTCTTCCTCAATTACTTGATGGTATGCAGAGTCATATTTCATTTAATATCTGCTGTACTCTATTCCTTCCTAAGATCTTTAAATTTTTATGTGCAGAGTTCTTTAAACTTATGAATGAGGTTGAGAATGAAGACCTTGTCTTCACTCTTGAGACCATTGTGGGCAAGTTTGGTGAAGAGATGGCTCCATATGCTTTTGGCTTGTGCCAGAATCTGGTATAATAATTTCCTTATAATATGTTTGTGATATTGTAATATGATTTGTTCTGATATGAATTTTAAATGTTTGCATAGGCTGCTGCATTTTGGAAGTGCTTGAATACATCTGAAGCAGATGAAGAAGCTGATGATTCAGGTGCTTTAGCTGCTATTGGTTGTTTGCGTGCCATAAGCACAATCCTGGAGTCCATTAGCAGTCTTCCACATCTTTTTGCTCAAATTGAGCCTATTTTACTGCCTATAATGCAGAGAATGCTGACTACGGATGGTCAAGGTAATGTTCATTTAAGGGAATATAGTTATCCATCCATATATGTTTACACAAATATACATATACAAGTGTTTCTTTGTGTAATGTTCACTTGGATATATACCTAACCTAACATCTATGGTACTGCCCCATAACATGTAACATCCAAATGAAACTATGAAAGTACTGCCTGATTGGTCATTTAGAAACAATTCCATGTGCTAAATTAACACACTCATATGAGAATCTGGGGATGGGGCCATTGACTGTTGTACCATGCTGATTGGTGGTATTGGTCCATGGGCGGACTGTTATGTGCTGGTTGGTGCAAGCGCGTACCATATGTTGATCTGTTGGTATGTTTCGGTTTTTTTGAAAAAAGACTGAAAATTCACAAAAATCCCCTTTTAGGATTTTTTATTCTAATGTAATGTAATATTATTGTATTCAAATAATAATTGAGTGTATATAAGACAAATGAATAGCAATTTGTAGGTTATAAGGATGAACATAGTGGATATGAGAAATTCCGCAGAATCCCAAGTTCCAATCCTTTTTTATCCGAATCAATGGCTTGATTACCACTGATGTCGGTTAAGAACATTAATTAGCTACAAGTGTAAGAGTGAGTGAGAATGAGTGAAAGACGGGAGAGGGAGGACGGTTTAATGTCCCAAAAGAGGGCTCAACAGTCAATTTGACTGTTGGGGTCAAACTTGACCAGATTTGGGTTAAAGTCAAGTATTTTTGTTGATTTGGAGTAAGCCATCCGGTCAATTTCTTTGTGATGGAAAGAAAATCACATATTTACACTATTCCCATTCATTTTTTTGTTAAAGGTCCTATTGAACCTGCTAGTTAGAAAACAAAGCTTAAGTTAGATAAAATGTATATCCATTTGTGACCTTGCTACTTTTTAGTGAAAGTGTAGCCAGGAAAGGTAAAGAAGAAGGCACCAAAAGTCTCTTAGTTGTACCAGACCATAAGGCAACATTTTCCTGCTCTGTATCAATGCCCTTATGTTTTCACATTTGCTATTCTTGAGCTATGTTAATGTTGATGGGAATTATGAAAATTTTACTAGCCCTTGGCACCCTGTGGAAAGCCCACTGCAAAGTACTCGTGGTGAAATGATTTACTCATTGTTTGTATATAAGAAGTTTGATTTTGAAACTTATCAATATCTGAAGTTGGTAGAGTAAATTATTTGCTTTGTTATAAATTGATCTTTTTGCAAAGATGAAAATACTCTTCAAAATGGTTGAAATTTCAACTTGTAATTGAATTTGATTTATCAGCATCTGCTAACTTATAAGTAACTTTTTGGCAATTGATGTGATATCCATGGACCATGATATGTTGGATTACATAGCCTCCCAGTTGCCTTGTTAGTGAAATCACAAACTGCTATGGCTGGAAGGAGAATTGAACATGAACTTTCCATTTTATAAAGTGTACAAGGATGGTCAACAGAGGCTTTGCTTGGTACAATGAGGTGATTGAATGGAGAATGTTGGTATGAAGTGACTGATGGAAGTGTTATGTCATATTGTGGTAGAATAAAACGAATTAGATGAGATAGGAGTAAGAAGAGAAGTATGAGAATGGAGAGGAGAGAAGGAGAGTTGAAGGAGAGAGACAGGGTCTTGGGTACCCATCTTCTTTCTTGGAGCTAGCTGCTAAATCTGGCCAGTTTGATACATAGTTGTGAGGAAAATATTCATGGGGCAATCTTACCATGACATCAAAGCCTAACCTCTAAAAGGGGCAATCAACTGCATAAGGTTCTTACCAATGTGTCTGGAGAGGGTTGGTCAATGTAGCTGGAGGGTCAATGTGCTTATTTTCCTAGGAAAATTCATGATTTTTTTAAAATTTCGCCAAACTTGTGATTTCCCTTTCATTAGTGATGGTCTTAACTTGAATCAAACTCCTTGTATTAATTTAAGACCATGATATCTGCAAGGTGCGTTTTAAATGCTGGTTTGGCTTTACTGCAGAATTGTTCATTGTAGCTGACATTGTCGAACCTACAGACCAGTTGTCTTCTTGGCTGAGAACAGAAAATTGTGTGGAATTTCATTCTTTCTATGATCATTAAGACTGCTTGCTATTATAATCCATAAAGAGTATTTTCCTTCCTATCCTCTATAATTTGTTGATCCTTAATTCTGTTGTATGAGTGTAAATCTTGTCGTCTACATCATATGGAAAGTTTTAATGGTATGCGGCTCTGATTAGATTGGTTATTTTACTAGTTTGTGGCACTGCTAACTTTGGTTATTTCACCATGTGCTATGCAACTTTGTGGCAAGTCGAGAACATATCTGTAAACTTTGCTAGGTCCTTGTGATGCAGTGTTATTTCCTGATAATCTTCATGTTTCACAGATGTTTTTGACGAAGTTCTGGAACTTGTTTCTTATATGACAATTTTCTCCCCAACAATCTCATTGGACATGTGGAGTCTTTGGCCTTTAATGGTAGAAGCACTTGGAGACTGGGCTATAGATTTCTTTGAAAGTAAGTCAACATGCTAATCTTCTAGGGGTTTTTTCTTCTGGAGCTTGTTATTTATATTCTATAAATTAATATTATTATTCATTTTTTCTTGCAATTAGTGGCTTACTCTATGTATCAATCATTAATACAAATTGTATGCTTTATTTTATTTGTTCCCTTTGCAACTTAATCTGCATGTTCTGTATTGTAATCCAAGATCTTCACTATCAGTTTAAAATGGACTTCCAAGATATAGATGTGGACTACTTTGTTTTATTTGTAATCAGGTTTTTCTCTAAAAAATTGTTATGGTATGGAAAGCAAATTTTTTATTAAGTCAGGTGGTTGAGTAAGAGGATGAGGGTAAAGGTAAAGAGAGATTGATGATATATCTCTACCCAACTGCAAAAAGGCCCTGACACTGAAGGGAGTGCTATCTTCCTACTTTTAAAAGACAAAAAGAAAATTTCAATGTCAAGATGACCTTCATTCAAATATTAAAATCAATCCAATTTAATTATATATTTTTAGCTCTTTTTTTATTCACTGCTTTTATTAGTTATTATAATTAACTGTTTATGTTATAACTAACTACATTAGCTATAATCAATTTTATATATCGTTATTTATACATATATCTTTATCTTCAAGTGAAAAATATCCTTAAAATTTATACAGTATGCTGAAATACATATTCTGCAATTTATACATTAAGTGAATTTTTATTTAATAATTAGTTATGCTATCTACAATAAGTGGAAAATACCTTTACAATTTATTTTTTATATTTAAAAAAAATTGAGTATAGTTTTTTACCTTCATATTTAAATAGATAGACCTTTAAATTTTGAATGAAATATATTCTATTTCACTTGTAATGTAATTGTTTAATAAATGTTCTATGTAAATATTTTGTTATTAATTATTACTATAATCATGGCAGCACAATTACTTGATGTTACTTTTTAAATAACATTTAACATTATATATGTACATACTATCTTTAAAAATAACGTGTTTAATAATTGATTAGTAATTTATTATCATGTTTAATAAAACATGTGGTAAAATTTAGTTATGGTTAATTAAAATAAAATATTAATGAAATTTACATTAGTCAACTAAGTAATACACTTTTGAGCCAGTACCAAAATGGTTGACAGTTGAAATGGTATGGTTTGGTATCATATGGCTGTGGGGAGAAGGTGGCGATGTGGTGCAGTGGTGCAGAGCAGTAGGAGAAGAGGAAGATAATAAGACAAGGCAAAAAATAAAAAAGAAGGGGGTAGGGTGTAGACTGCTTGGTACAGCTGGGTACTGATCAACCTGGTTTTGGATTGACCTGGCAAAAGTTTCCAGTTCATGTGCTGGTCAGCCATCAGACTTGTAGAAACTAGATCATACCATTTGGTATGTTTGAGGTACAAATCCACAAAATCAACCAAGGAAACTAGCTTGTAATAAAATATTAAGAACTATTATTTTAGATGAATGGAGGAGTTCTCCTTAAGTTCCTAACTTAAAAGTAAGGATTTGTATAAATTGTAAAGGTAAATGTCTTGTGTCAAGAAAGATTAAACTTAGACTATTTACTTAGAGATACAGTTGAAAAAATATAGAGAAAAGAGAGGCTTACTAAAGTTTTTTTGGAGAGAAATATGCATATATTAAGTATGTTCATCTGATTAGGGATATCTACAATGAGATCATTATTCATAGAACATTAGAGTCTAGGCAAGTGTATTCTTTATTGCATTAGGTTTATACTGAGGGTCAATTTAGAACTCTCTGATTTGTTGCATTTGTTATGATGAACTTACAAAACACATCAGGATTGAAGTCAGAAATGGTGATGGGTAGGTTACAAATTTCACCATACCTGAACCTGAACCCAAACTTGAATTTCACCATGTCACTTGTGCACTTGTTACCTGTTACTTGTTAGTGATTAAAAGTGCACTTGTCACTGACTCACCATTTCACATGAATAGGTTGTTTCCAACACACTGTACTTGTTACTTGTTAGTGACTTCTAAAGTGCTATAAATTATAAAATAATGAACAAAGGAGTTATGATGCGTAATTTTAAAGTAAATCACCATTCTTGTGTTTATCTACTGTACTCATCCAACTTGTTCAGATGTTCTTATTCCTGTTCATGATAAAAAATGAACTCTTGCATATCAAGTTAATTCTTATTGTGCTATCTTGTTTCAAATTGGCACTATCCAAATCCTCTGACTACTGGATAATCATTGTCTTCTCAAAGTTAGTGATATAAAATTTCAGCTTTATGCTGAAACAAATCTGTGAAATATTTCCTACTACTGTTCCGTTGTTGACTTATTGCTTTGTGAGAACTTTTTTTTTTTTTTTGAGAGGAAAGTCTTAGGTTATTCTTTGATACAATTCTCTTTTTACCACCTTAAGAATTATGCTAGCTTATATTTAACTTCATTGTTCATGCCTAGAGTGATTGAATAATATACTCAAGATGATCTGTATGCTTTATTGCTTTTGATGATTTCAATGTTTGATATGACTATTTGAGTATTATACTACACGGAATCATCTGCACCTGTCAACAGATATGTTTCAGATCTCAATTGTATTGTTAATTTGCTCAAATTTCAATTTTCTTCAGGGCTTTACTTCATGTATTTAATCTAGTGGCAATGTTTTCTGGTAGATATGCTTGTTCCTCTGGACAACTACATATCCAGGAGTACAGCTCATTTCCTTACATGCAAAGATCCAGATTACCAGCAAAGCCTGTGGAAAATACTTTCAACAGTAAGTGAAGTGGCTCTATTCAGTTTTTTATTAAGCTGACAAGCATAGTTCCATTATTTTTTGTCTCTTATTGATGCAAAGCTTTTGATCTTTGATACATTTTGTACAGATCATGTCAGATAGAAAGATGGAAGACAGTGATATTGAGCCTGCTCCTAAGCTGATTGAAGTAGTATTCCAAAATTGTAAAGGTCAAGTGGATCACTGGGTTGAGCCTTATTTGAGGATTACTATTGATCGACTGCATCGGACAAAGAAGCCATATATGAAATGTCTTCTGATGCTAGTGGTAAGAATTCCTGTTTGATGTGTCAGCAGTGAGTACCTGACTTAATTTTATCTCTTCACTTGGTATAGAGTACATGATGTATTTTGAACAAGTGAAATGAACTGCTGGAGTAAGATTTATTAGTCTTCTGTTGTGAAATTAAACAGTTCAGACAACAATGGAATACAGGCATGTTCTTATGTGAAGAATCTGGACATGACATGTGTTCATGCTGTTCAGAAAACCGACGAGAATATATAGTAACATGTTTTCTTGGGAATTTGATTGCAAATGATTTGCTTTGCAAGAATGGTTTCATAAGTTAGTGCCTTGGCCTTTTCTGTTAGATGAGTCTGATCAAAAGAAAGTCAGGCCTAACGAAGTCTGTGCTAGTCAGTTTTGGTCTCCATAATTTTTGTAGAGCTTATGATTAATTTGTTTCTAAAAGTCAGTGACGTCCAAACAACCATGGCATAGATTTGTTCCATGGTGATACATTTTGCTCAGATTCTGCCGAAGATTTACAGTTCCACTGGTAGGACAAGGTAAGTTGATTCTTTGGAGGAAGACCAAGAAATGCCTTAGTCAAAACAATGAGAAATGCTTGGATAACCCAATATATTGATGATATCGGCCTTTGCAAAACTTGATGGTAGTATGCTATTCATTTGGCCCCAAATATCTGGGAACTATGGCATTTTATTACTACCATCCATCATAGTAGTTACAAGTTTCTATCTGGTTAAACCTTGTTAATAGTTATATCATGACAATGATACATATATGTCACAATAATCTTATATTGTTTTGTTCTGCCATGTTATTAAACCTTCTACTTATCCCACATTACATCTATTTGGTCATCATAAATACTGCTTGAATCGCGATTTTGATTATTTTGTATTTGTTTGATGTATAATCTATTCTTGATATACTTATGTATAAAATTAGGGTTATTGGGTATTTGCAAATCTGTTCTTATACATTAACAAATTCAATTGTATCTCTTCCTGCAAATTGATTGCCGTCTTTGATAGTCTAACACAAAAGACTTGTTTTTCTAACACAAAGGACTTGCAAATTGAGGGAGGTCCTTTGTACAACGGTAATGTTGCTCTTTGCAATATGGGAGACCAAACTTCGAGTTAGGGAAATAGCTTCTACGTATCTCTCTATATGTAGAGGTAAGGTAAGGCCCCCTTCCCAGATCCCGCCTTAGCGGGAGACTCGTGTATTGAATAGGCCCTTTTACATTCCCTTGCTCATTTATCACATTGTATGAGTGGCTTATCTAAAAGAGAGTAAAATACATCATCACACAAGCATTGTTGTGGCCTCCGATTTCAGATCCTAAGTGATGGATGTTATTTAGTCTGGTTTATGGTAGGTAATCTAATCAATTGGGAAATTGATTTACCTTTCCTTAGTTATTTCTTTTCCCCCTTTTGAGGACATCACCATAGTGTATCTGGGTCGTGTTGTTTTTTGATGCTCCCACAGGAAGAACTCCAGCGTTCTTGCATAGAGGTTGCTGGTGAGGTCTGCAAAGAGCTACTCATAGATGGAGTGTAGAATAGTGAGGGCGGCACTGGAGAGGCTGGAAGTTTGAAGAAGTGAGAATTGAGTAATAGATAGAAGAAGACTCAAGATAGAAGGACTTTATTATGGTTCAAATGTGATGAACCCATTTAATTTGAGACCTTTTTGAGGACTTATACTAAATTTTGTGTAATATATCAATCTTCCTAGATAGTTTTTCCTGTCCACTTTGTTTCTTATAAATAAATTATGTTAATTCTCCTACTCATTGTATCTATCAATTATAACCCCTTCTAAAAAAAGTGTTCCTATACTCCACGTTGTTAATTTAGTTTTCTGTTTTTGAATTAACTGTTTTATTACTTGCACTGTGTGTTTCTCCTTGTATATTGTATACCACACGTTCTGTACTAAAATATCCGAGAACCCTTTGTATGTTATATACCAGATGTAGGTGACAATGTGATGGGTTGTTCCAGGGTGACTTTCCATCCCACCCTTTGCACTTCGGGGCACACGTGGTGGAGATATCTTGTGTCATTCTGGGTGATAATCTATTCATATAATAAAATTGGTTAAGATCCATGTTTGTGAGATATGACAAAGTTACAAGTTAAATATCAACAGCCTAACTCAACCCTCTTTAGTTTGAGTTTGGGATCAGCAGTGAATAACACATGCAGAGTTTACTTTAATCTTTAGTAATACTTCTAAAATTTGAAGAACCATTTTGTTAATTAATCCATTTTAAATTAAAAGTTACACCTATATTCTAACATGTCTATGTTAATAGGAGAAAAGAGTTTGTGCTGTTGAATCTAGTTTCTTCACATCTGAATATTGTACTTCTTGCTTGTGTTGAAATGCTTTCAGTCTCTACTTTGTCATGTACTGAGTTGTCCAAATGGACTTCATTGGGGGCTGTGGTTTTGTGATTATTTATTGAGAAATCTCACAAAGTTTCATCCTTTCTAAATACTATGTTTGTGGGTGTATGTCTTTAATTAGCTTTGGTTAAAAAAACCAGTTTTCTATCTTTTAAGTATTCTCAAGTGTATGCTTGCGATTCTCTTGAATAAAAGTTTCTGTTAAGGATGTATCTGCTTTCAGTGCTCTATTCTTGATGCTTTTCTTCTATTAGGGTCTAGTTATTCTTGTGCCTTAAGTTCAAATATGTGCGTCACATATAGCATGCCTTGATACTCTAGATCATCTTCTAACTCAAAATCAAATGCTGTAACAGTTATTTCTATGATTGTATCTTATTCATCTCATCTGTTATTTGGAATTCTGAATTTGATGCCTTTCGGAGTTTATGTATTTTCATTTTAATGCAATACCTTGGCTGTTGCAGATTGCTGATGCTCTTTACTATGATGCCTCTTTGACTCTTGGGACACTGCATAAGCTTGGAGTTGCTTCAGATATTTTCAATCTCTGGTTTCAGATGCTGCAAGACGTAAAAAAGAATGGTATGCGTGCAAACTTTAGAGGGTAAGACTTTGTTTTTTTCTCTTTCATGTTAGTTCCCATTAATGTCTTTGGCTTAATGCCCTGTGTTAATTGTAGGCTACATGATAAAAAGGTTTGCTGCTTGGGATTAACTTCACTTCTTTGCCTCCCTGTGGATCACTTTCCTGGTGAAGCTTTAGAACGTGTCTTTAAAGCAACACTCGATCTTCTAGTTTCTTATAAGGGTCAAGTTGCAGGTACATCTTTTTGCATCTTTCTGCATATATGGCAGAGTATATTCTCCCATATCTTTTGGACTGCCCTTCTTGGTTGCTCCTATCCACATCCTATGTTTTACTAAAAATTTATGGATTGTTTCCTGTTATTTATTTCCTGCTATCTTCCACCATATCATATGTCCTAACTGTTTCCCTGGATACAAGTTTTTGTTAATCTGAGATTCTCCTGAAATTTCAACTGCTGTCTTCCGATGTAAATTATTACTAGAATACCTGTTAGCTAATTACTTTGTTTATCTTGTTACCTCATCTCATGTCGGAGATGCCTCTTGCATAATTTTCTTTTTCTTCTAGTATTAATGTTAAAGAAAATATTTTAGATTGAGTGCCTTATTTCATTAAACAGTAACTTCTTTTGCTTTAACAGAAGCTGAAAAGCTAAATGATGCTGCTGTTGATATGGATGGTTTTGATGCTGATGAGGAAAACGAGGAAGAAGATTCTGATAAAGAAATGGGAGATGATACGGAGGATGGGGATGAAGTGGACAGTCTAGAACTTCAGAAATTGGCAACAGAGGTTAGTAGAAGAATGTAATTTTTTTATCAGTTGGTATTTCGTTTTTACAATCATCAATAATTCTTCCATGGTGAAGGCTAGCACACAAGGTGACTACCATTCAACCTGTCTACTAGGATTTTATTAGCACAAGTGACACTGAAGTTTACCAATAGGAGAACCGGTTGTTTTATGGTGGATAAGGGTAACCTATAGAAGTAAATGGACTTTTTTAAAGATGAAAATCTCATGATTCCTAGATTATTTGTTTTCAATTCATTTTCTTTCGTGGAACATCTCTTGTGCACCACCGTGCTGTCACGAACTTAGCTGGAATTGCCTAAGTCGTGAGGCACCCTTGCGGCAAAGACGTAAACTTAGCTTGCGTTGCCTAAGTCGCGCTTCGCCCTTGCGATTTGCGTCCGCAAAGAACAGCCCACTTGCAACCTCTCGCAGGTCCCGAAGAACCTGTAAAAGAGAAAGTTGATTAGTTCGAAGAACAAGCGACGGACAAGTCCTGACGTCTCGTGAAAAGGGGAAGCCTTACAAGCAATTCAGCGAGCACCTTGCGTGCACAAGAGAAAAGAGGGAGAGGAGGAAAACAAGGACTTCAGAGGGGTTGAACGAACAGCTGCAAGTCCACAAACAGCTGCTCATCGGGTGCCGGGCGCGGCGACAAGTTCCTGTCAAGGTAACGTGCGAACTTGCAAAAGATTGTTCAATGCCCGACACTATACCGAAGCCCCATCCCCCATGGTGCCACCCAGGTGGTTCCAGGGTGCTTAGATGGCTGACGTTTCGCGTGCAACAGCGGGCTGCAGAAAACAGCCCGTGGCACGCAAAAACGGAGCTGTTTTGCTCGGTTCGGTGAGCGGTCGCACTGTAGCACTGCTACTTGTTTGAACTTACATTTTTACAAGTAAAAGGACTTGAAACCAAACCAAAATATGCTGCCAAGCAGCTGTACATGTAGATGAGAGCGATGAACGGTTTGTTGAACGGAGTTGTTGCGGGTGCGCGACGATCGTTCGTGACATTCTCCCCCACTCAAACTGTCGACCCTCGTCGACGCTTGTTGATAGTTGTTGATAATTGTTTCTTCATGTCGTAGGGCATCTTCGGGCTCCCAACTGGCTTCAGTTCGGGGAAGCTTTCTCCACTTTACCAAGTACTCGGTCTGCTCAGCTCCATTGGGTAGCTTTATCTTGCGATTTGCTAAAATAGTTTCAACTCGCTTCTCATATGAGACTCTGGTGGGGGGTAGCCGAGTTGGAACACTTCGGGAAGCATCTTGCGGATCCGAGTGGTAGGCTTTTATGTTGCTGGCGTGAAGAACATTGTGAATTTTGAACCACATCGGTAGCTGCAACTTGTAGGAGGCGTTGCCCACCCTACTGATAATTGGGAAAGGCCCTTAATACTTGCGCACCAATCCTTTGTGTACTTTGTTCCTAAAGAATTGGAGTGATGCTGTTTGGAGCTTTACCAACACCAAATCGCCGACCTTGAACTCTTGCGGTCGCCTTCCCAAGTCTGCCCACTTCTTCATCCTTTTTGCCACCTTCTCCAAGTAAGCCCGCGCAATATCTGCATTTCGGTGCCACTCCTTTGCGAATTGGTAGGCTGACGGACTACTTCCAGTATACCCGATTGCCATGATGTGGGGAGTTGACGGTTGTTGTCCTGTAATGATCTCGAAGGGGCTCTTGTTGGACGCAGAGCTTAAGTTGTAGGAGAATTGGGCAATGTCCAACAACTTCACCCAATCTCGTTTGTTGGCACTCACGTAGTGCCAAAGATATTGCTCTAGGAGCGAGTTTATCCTTTCGGTTTGGCCATCCGTTTGGGGGTGGAGGCTTGTGGAGAAGTATAACTTGGACCTCAACAATTTTAATAGCTCGGTCCAGAATCGTCCCAGGAACCGAGCGTCTTGATCACTGATGATATTATGTGGGACTCCCCAATACCTCACCACATCCTTCATCATCAGCTTGGCCGCCTCCTCTGCTGAACAGTGTAGCGGAGCAGCAATGAAAGTTGCATACTTCGAAAATCGATCGACCACCACGAGTATCGATCCGAGTCTCCCTACTGTTGGCAAGCTTGATATGAAGTCCAAGGAAATGCTCTCCCACGGCCTTTTTGGTACGGGCAACGGCTTCAAAAGTCCCACCGGCTTTCGTTGCTCCACCTTGTCTTGTTGGCAAGTGAGGCACGTTCGAACATATTTCTCCACATCAGTCCCCATCTTCGGCCAATAGAAGGCCCTCTCTACGAGAGCGAAGGTTCTATAAATGCTTGGGTGTCCAGCCCAAAGGGAATCGTGACACTCTCTTAAGAGTTCACGCCTAATATTGTCCACTCGAGGAACATAAACCCTATTCCCTTTGGTGTAAACGAGTCCCTCCTGGACCCAAAACCGTCGTGCCTTGCCTTCTTTAATGAGCTGCATCAGGGTTACTGCCTGGAGATCACTGTACAGACCATCTCTGATCCTGGAAAGGAAGTTGGAGTGCAACTGACTTGCTTGGCCTCTGCCCTCCAATTATACGGCATTCGCCCGCTCCACTTTTCGACTCAATACATCGGCCACGACATTTGCCTTTCCGGGCTTATACTCCATTACCATATCAAACTCGGCCAGGAAGTCCTGTCATCGTGCTTGCTTTGGGGAGAGTTTCTTCTGAGTTTGGAAGGGGAAGCTTGCCCTTGTCCGATCGGGGTGGGGGGGGGAAGGGGAAGCTTTACAAGCAATTCAACGAGCACCTTGCGTGCACAAGAGAAAAGAGGGTTGAACGAACACCTGCAAGTTCACAAACAGCTGCTCACCGAGTGTCGGGCGCGACAACAAGTTCCCGTCAAGGTAACGTGCGAACTTGCGAAAGATTGTTCAACGCCCGACACTATACCGAAGTCCCATCCCCAATGGTGCCACTCGGGTGGTTCCAGGGTGCTGAGATGACTGAAGTTTCGCGTGCAGCAGCGGGCTGCAGAAAACAGCCCATGGCACGCGAAAACGGAGTTGTTTTGGGGCTGTTTTGCTCGGTTCGGTGAGCGGTTGCACTATAACGCTGCAACTTGTTCAAACTTACATTTTTACAAGCAAAAAGACTTGAAACCAAGCCAAAACATGCTGCCAAGCAGCTGTACATGTAGATGAGAGCGACGAATGGTTCGTTGAACGGAGTTGTTGCGGGTGTGCAACGACCGTTCGTGACAGTGCACATGCATAGGTGTCGAGCACTGTTGGATCTGCTCTTTGATCCATGTCAGCATGGATCATGAAGCATGCCAAAGGTTATTCTTTCAGTGTGCTGTGTGCAGCTTTGGAGATGCACTCCCCCATTACGAAAAACCAGGATGCCACTTTGATATTAGAAGTTCAGTGTTTTTTTGTTAATGGCAATGAGGATTGGTTTAGGATGGAAACCCATTATGTGGGGGCTTTTGTATAGTAATTCTTAATTCTTTTAGTTCATCCTTGGTTTTCTTATGCGTAATCACATCACTAAATCATCTAGTTTGCTCCCAGTAATTTTGAATCATTTTGTGGCATCAATATTTATTTAGTTCTGCTCATAAATGATGAAATTAGGCGAGAGGGTTTCAATCAAATGATGAGGATTACGAGACTGACGATGATTACAGTGATTATGATGATGACTCGCAATCACCAATTGATGAAATTGACCCTTTCATTTTCTTCGTCGAAACTGTTCATGGTAAAACAGTTTGTCCGTTTATTTCGTCTTGATCTCCTCTCATTTCAAACATGCCTGACATGTAACCATTATGGTCAGCTTTGCAAGCTTCAGATCCTACTAGGTTTCAGAACCTGATGCTGACCTTAGACTTCCACTACCAAGCTCTTGCAAGTGGCATTGCTCAACATGCCGAGCAGAGAAGGACAGATATCGAGAAAGAAAAGCTGGACAAGGCAGCCACTCAGTGAATATCATTATAGTAAAAGATTAAAATAGTTTCATGTTTCATATTGTCAGCGATCTCTTAAATGGAGGAAGAATCTAAGGTAGTTCATGGAGCCATTTTCCGAGGTATCATTTGTCAGGACGATTGTAGGCTCTGACAATTTTGCTTCTCCTTTGATGGAGAATCCAGATAACAGATGCATTTTTGTAAATGCTATGTTATCTTCAATTCTATCAGCAATTCTTTTGGTGGTCTCTTGGTGTGAGGGATCACTGCCCAATAATATCACCGATTTTGTGTTCTTTTTTTTTTTTTCCCCCTTGGAAGCACATAAGATATTATTTACCTTCTGTCTATGAAAGAGTCCAATTATGAGGGGATTTATTGCTTGATCATTCTGTGAAAGAAGGGGGCCAGCAATAAAGGATGTATATAGAGTCGTTTATACCAAGGGATGATACTGAACTGACTCGGTTGCAAAGATCTTTGATATTAATATTTGAATTATTAGTGTTTACTGCCTTGAGAGGTTGATGTATTGTTCCCGTATTATTTTCTTCTGATGTTTTCCATAGTGGAGTTTTTGGTTTTGGCGTATTACTTTACGTCTGTTATCTCTGTTGTGGTACACATTACGGATGAGTGTGTTAAAATAATTACGGTAACTTATAAAATAATAATATATTATTACTGTTACTGCATCGTTATAATGTGCGTGTATCTTATGATTTTTAAAATTTTAAAAGATAATAACTCTAATTATAGAGTTCAAATCATTTAACCCTCGATCTGATATAATTCAACCGAATAGTTTGTGTAATGCTTACTGGCTGTTCATGGCCCTATTATTCTCTAACAACTGAGTAATCCATTCAATTATCTATCCCCACTTCGTGTTAAGACGACAAAGCATCAAAAGATTCACTGTTGGATTCCTTTGAGCATATACAGCAATTGGATCTTTTGGACGGCGGGAGTACACTGATCTCTTCCACACACCACATTAACTCAATCTATATATCTTCGGCTAGATGTGCTTCCAACGTGCATGTATGTTTCCGTGCCATTAGTAGTCCTAATTAAAAACGAAACTCTTAATCTATGTGCCATGCCAGCCTAATCATCCATTAAAAACGAAACTCATTGCTCCCCGCTTATTTTAACACAAATATATATATAGTCTTACAAATATATAAAACCTAATCAATTATCCAATTGGTAAATAAATTTTGTAAGAGTGTCGGCTTGCACCATATCAATTCTAGTTGAATTGGATCAAATATTTTGATCCAATTAGTGATCTATGTGGATTTATGTCGATTAGGCGCATTTATTATCGAATTTGATTGGATAACACGTAATAATTATGCGTAATATATATACTACTAAAATGAGATTGTATTGTTTCTGTCGATGGTCCAGTGATTTGGATATGTGGAGCCCAGTGATGGCTGTCCCGGAGTTGACCGTCCCCGTCAGTCTTATTTCTTGCACGTGGCGTGGGAACCGTTGATTTTTACTTGGTTTCATTAACTTCCGTGCCGGTCAAATCCAACATGAACCAACAGACTTATGACGGATTCTCTCTCGACCGCTGACTTCCCTCCGGTCAACGCCTGCCTCCCGAGGCAAAGTCCTAAGTTGTCACCCTCCGATGAGGCACTGCTCTGTGTGTCCATGTGTGTGTGTGTGTGAGAGAGAGAGAGATGGGGGCCGAGGGGACGGTGGAGGAGCGAGCGCTGGGGTCGCTGGGGCTCGGCTTCGACCTCACCAGCGACTTCCGTCTCGGCTTCGCCAAGGGCTACCCCGGCCGCAGGTTGGTGGAGCTCAACGAGGAACGCACGTGGGACGTCGCCCTCCCCGGCGGCCCCACCATCCGGGGCGCCTCCAGGGACGTCGGCTTCGACAAGGGCGACCGCACTCGGTTCCGCTCCGACGTGCTCGAGTTCAACCAGGTGGGTTCTCCTTGTTCTTCCCTCCCCTTCTGCCCTTCCTCCCAGTGAATGCTTGCTGGTCCACCATTATCAGTGATCAGGTCTTCGATTCTTTTATGTGGCCAGCAATTTGGCCAAATAGTGTGGAACAAACAGGATTACAGCAATCGGTCTCCTTGTTTCAACTCCTTTATAATCGTGATGTAGTAGCACTTGAGGCACAATCAGTTGGGCATTGGTAATCCATGGGAAGAAGAGCTAAAAAAAAAACATGTGGAAACCTTAATGAAAAATGTTAATCTTTTTCTTTGAATGAATTATGGCAGAGATGTTTTAGAAGGCAACTGCTTCTTGAAAAGGTGGAAGTTATGTTCTTGGTCTGTATCCCTCTTATAAAACATGTACAAGAATTAAAACTTACAGACTTCATTTGTAAGATCTCGTGTGAAATGATGTACATAGTGAGCACGTAAATGCATAGATCTAGCTGGCTCTACCCTGTGCCAATAGCAGTATATTCATTCTATGGAAGACTGCAAAAGTATGATCAGTTACCACTTCTTAACTCAGGACATCATTTCCTAAAGAAAAGCTGATGGTGGTTAGCTGCAGGTATAGAACTTGTGTGATTTATGTTGATTACCATAATTGTATCCTGCTCAATGACTATTTGTCTCATCGAACAACAACTGATCGAGCCATTTTCTCCGTGAAAAGCTCGACAGTCTATTCAGAGAAGTTTAATGCTTAAATTCATACTATTTTGACATGGTGTTTATTTCAAAATCTTGTTCATGCCATGTTGTTCTTTTGCCCTTCTCCCAACAACAGATGTCTATATTACTCAATCAGAAATCTTCAGTCCAAGGAAAAGTTCCTTCAGGATATTTTAATGCGCTTTTCGATCTAAGTGGGGCATGGTTGGAAGATGCCAAGAGCACAAAATGTCTTGCTTTTGATGGATACTTCATTTCCTTGTACAATCTGCACCTAAGATCTTCTCCTCTAGTCCTTCGAGAAGAAGTAAAAAAAGCAGTTCCATCGAAGTGGGATCCTGCATCTTTGTGCCGGTAAGTCCTAAACATGAATCTCTTACAAGAATCTTGCTTGTGGTAATGCCAAAAACCTAGATTTTTTATGTCTCATTTGTACATATCATCTATTCTGCATATTAATCTCATATTAAATTTGCATGGAAATGATTACCAGCAAAAATTATACCTTTCTGCAGGTTCATAAGGACCTTTGGGACACACATAATTGTGGAAATCGCAATAGGAGGTCAGGATGTAAATTGCGTAAGGCAAAGTCATTGTTCGACAATTTCATCTGCTGAGGTCAAGAAACATCTCGAGGACCTTGGAGACTTTATATTTTCTGATGGAAGAAACCTCTCTCCTCTGCATTCGAAGGATGGAGAAAGGAAGAAAAAGGTGTATCACCTTATACATCTTCAATTTATCCTCCACATATTTTCTATAGTCAACAATAATGCTCTTTTTTACAGGTGCCTGAAGTCTTCTTGCAAATCTTGCAATCAAACTACCTGCAACTGCCGAGCTATTCAGAGTCTTCAAGCAAGGAAGTAAGACCCAAAGACTTGTATATGATCTCCAGTTTGGATCTCAGGTTTAACTATAGCTCTTCATATCGACAGGGCCTCTCAGTTATTTGCTCAAAAAGAGGAGGCAATGTGTGTACTTCGAATCACTCGGAATGGCTACAAACAGTACAGAGTAGTCCTGATGCCATATTATTTAAGTTTATTCCTATTACCTCTCTTCTAACTGGAATCCAAGGCAGTGGATACCTCAGCCATGCTATCAATCTGTATCTCCGCTGTAAGTCGTTCGCATGAACAAAACAATAGAGTTCTCATTCCGATCTCGATGATGATCTTTACTTAATTTGCTTACTTAATGCTATGTTATGCAACTAGAGAACTTGCATAGACAGCATCAGATCATCTTTGTGCTTTATATTGCTACATTCAATTCTCATTTTCATTTCTTCAGCAAAGCAATATGTTCTGACTAAATTCTTTTGCCAGACAAACCTGATCCTGAGGATTTGCAGTATTTTCTGGAATTCCAAGTCCCGTACCAGTGGGCGCCGCGATACAGTGATTATGCTCTTGGACCTCAAATAAAAAAAGCATCCAATCCTTCTCTGCAGTTTAGATTTTTGGGCCCCAAACTTCAAATTAACACTGATCAGGTACTCTGTTCTTATTACTTTTGTTGGACCGGTACGTCTCTTGTTCCATGATCTTATTGAAGAATTGAATTGTTTGATCAAGTTAGGTGTGTCAGATTGTTCATCATATCATTGTATCCAACTGCAGATTTCAACATAGTATCTCTGAAAAGAGGGAAAAAAAATGTCGCAAGCAAACACTAATATTGTTGAATATCTAGTTAATTCTGTTGATTGTTCATCATATCATTGTATAATCTCTCAAAAGAAAAAAAAAAGAATGTTGCAAGTATACATTAATATTGTTGAATCAAACATACCTCTTGCTTTGCTATCGATGAGATAATTTCCTTTAGAGTCAATAGCTTCTAAGAGTTCTTTGTGACTCGATTCAGGTATCGAGTGATCGAAAGCCGGTGGTGGGTCTGCGGCTATATTTGGAAGGCCGGAAGTGCAACCGGCTAGCCATCCATGTGCAACACCTCTCTAGTCTCCCCAGAATCCTCAGGGCCTCAGCCTCGGAGATGTGCGTCTGGCAGGGATCAGAGGATTCCGACCCAGCATTCATCGAACCGATACGGTGCCGGCAGTATTCCGCCGTCTGCACATCGACCGTGAAGCACGATCCAGAATGGCTCCACAGAGTATCCGACGGCGTGTTCGTGGTCGCCGGCGCTCAGCTCGTCACCAAGGGGAAGTGGGCGAAGACGGTGCTCCATCTCCGCCTCCTCTTCGCTCACGTACCCAACTGCACCATCCGGAAGACCGAGTGGACTCGCGCACCTGCCACGTCTCCGAAGGGAGGCTTTTTGACAAACATGAGCACTGCATTCACGCAGCGTGATGCGCTGCCGACGACGACGACTGAATCTGCAGAGCTGAACTCCGGCGTGTGTCCGGATGGCCCGCCGGTGCCGGTGCAATCGAGGAAGCTGCTGAAGTTTGTGGACATGGCCGAGGTGGTCAGGGGCGCCCACAATGCGCCTGGGCATTGGCTGGTGACCGCAGCCAAGCTTGTCAAGAAAGAAGGGAAGATTGGGCTGCAGGTGAAGTTTTCTCTGCTCAACTACGTGTCGGGGACTGAGACGATGTGCTCGTGACATAAGAGTGCCGTATACATGCACTCATACGGTCGACTAACTGTTGCAAGTTCTCCGCGTAGTGTCTCGCATCGATCGCACAGTTATTTCGTACAATATAGAAATACGTCATATTTAAAATATAAATGTAATTTAATAATTTATGAATATTAATCATGTAATTGTTTTTAAGCTGTGTTTGTAATTAATTAAGTGGTTTTGTTTGACCACTTGTTTGACTGAGTGGGTCAACGTACCGGCGGTCAACTAAAACGGGCAGTCATAATAATTACAGCAACCGTTAAAAACGTCGATTCTTAGGGTTTCCGGCTGAATTCTTCTTTATATACTGAACGAGTCCCGCGATTGCCTCCCGCTTCCAGCCACACAGCCCGGCGAAATCTCTCTCCGTAGCAGCACGAGGTCTGGGATCATGGAGACGACCCAATTCGCAATGGTAAACGAAGCCCTAACTCCTCTACCATTCTCTGTTCTTGGGATTCAGACTTTTCGATGACATTGAGCGGCGAGAATCCGGAATTTATGTTGCTTACGTGCCTTTTCTTGATTCCTCGGTTCGTTGGATGATGATGATGGTAAAATTACTAGCAGAGAATTGCTTCCTCAGTAGAAATCTTCAGGGCTTCTTGCCATGGATAGTTCTCTTTTTCATCTCGAATCTGACATGTATAACTGAAATTATGATTTTTCCTGTTGGTCTTGCGGCAAAAATTGTATCGTAGATGGAGACGAAAACGAACGGAAGTGTAGGTAGAGAACAATCTTAGTGTGCTTTCGTTATTGGTGTCAATTGTGTTACGAGTTGCTTAGGGGACCCTTTGCCAGTACACCTCCGTAGTGCAACAAAGAATTGTAGGATCACAGGCAGCAATCTTGGAATACCCACTAGAAACAGTAGGAAACTATGCAACTCTAGAGTATGATGAAAAGATGGGCAGAAAAACAAGAGAGTAGAAAGATTGGTCCATGTTTGCTGATGTTCTGCCCTTGTCATGAAAGGGCACTAAACAGAGAATGGTGCATCACTCGTAACTTAAATATGATAATAGTAAACAAGAGATTTTATGTTGAAGGCATGGGAGATAAGGGATATTGTTGGGCATGAGTATTCCATCCAAGGAAGGTTTGCTCCTTTATGCATAATGTACACTTGAAAATGTTTTAAAACTTTCAACTTAAGTTACTTGTATGACATACCATTTCACAAATTCTTATTGTTACTTTCAGGTTGAGGAGTTGGCTTCTCTTATAAAGGATAACTTGTCCTGCAAGCACCTTGTTCTTTCAGTAGAAGAAGCCTTAGTCAACTTTCTTCAAGATGATACAAGGTAACCAAGTAAGCACAAAGCAAATTACGATCCTCTGTGTATTGATGTTTTTCATAAGAGTCATCTAAAGTTTTGAGCTCTATTGTCTCGGTAGCATCTGAAAAAAAAAAAAAAAAGTACAGTAACATTTGTTGATTGAAAATTATTTTATTTTGACATGAAATAGGTGTTAAGTTGTTGTAAGACATATAACTTCTGCATGTAGTGATGAATTTTAACATTCACCTAGTAGAGCTAGCATAGGGTTTACCATAATGGTGGCAATTTGGCTGGTATAGGTGTATATTGCCTTAAAATTTTCTTTTCAGTTAATTAGCTAATTTCAGTTGCTTGTGTAAGTAGTTCAACAATGGTCCATCACTATGCTCAAGTTTATGACTACCGCATATTAGTCTTTTGCTTTATATCCTAAATTTGCAAGAAACTTGCAGAGCGTTTGCGATAATTATTGTCATTATGCACCATTGTAAGTTCTGCTCCTTTTCTTTTTTTTTTTTGTTCAGAACTTTAAATGCAGTTCAGGTGGAATATTAGAATGCCATAACTATTGTCAGTATGCACCATTGTAAATTCTGCTCATTTTCTTTTTTGTGTTTAAATACAGTTCAGATGGAATATTAGAGCTCCAACCAATGGGTCCATACCACCGTCTGCTTTTGCATCGTCTTGCAGATATATATGGGTAAATATATCTTCTGGGTAAATATATCTTCTGTAGTCTGCATAATTTCTCTTAACTTCTTAAGAAAATTCTTTTTTGCTCTCTTCTAAATGACTACTAAAATAACTTTACCTCTTTATCTTAATCATCTGTCTTATGGCATCTGAAATTGTCGACTTTCTAGATTTGCCCATGAATCTGTCGGCGAAGGTGATTATCGCCACTTAGTTCTGGAGCGGTGTGCAGATACGACAATGTATGACATTTTTTTTTGTGTATGCCTTGAGTTTGCTTTCATTTCTCTATGTTTCCTTTGATTAATTTCTATGTAAGTAAATCTTGTAACGTCTTTTCTTTACCATCAGCTACAGCTAAGACTTTCCCACTTTCTCAATAGCCCCACAGTTTAATTGCTTATATTTTCCTGAATGTGGACCTTCAAAACATGTGTTTTTCATTTAAATTATGCATGATAATTTCAAACTTTCTCATGTTTTTGATGACTAATAAAATGCAACATTTCTGTTGATTATTTGGCAAACTTTTGATGCTTGTTGTCTAGGAAATTATTTTTCTAGTGGTTTATCATTTTGAATATATTTTGTATGTTAAGTAGTTCTTGTATAAAGTTTCTGACAGATACCAGCAGTGTTTTTAATTGTTTCAAAAATCATCATCTAATACTTGGTAGCTTGCAGAAGTTTGCACAAATAATTTTTGACTGAACATTTCTTGATGACTTCTATTTTACTGCAGCCCACCAATTCTTGTTAGTGATATACTATGGCAGTATGATGAACATCAAACTCTGAGTGCTTCTAACTATGTACTACTGAGAAACGAAGCTCCAGGTAACCTTGCAGTTCATTTTATATTATAGTCTCAGGGGCATGTTTCATTTTCTTGAATTTGAATATATCTTCTCCCTTTCATTTTGCTTAGTCCGTGGTACCTGATATGAACAGTTCACAAGGTTCAAAGATTTTTTTTCATTTTTGTATGTCAGGCTTTTAGCAGTTTGTCAAATTCGAGTAGGTTTAATGGATGTTTTGCATACTCTGATCAAGCAATTGCAAAGATGCTGAATTGCTGCAAGAACTTGTTTTAGAGGATTTACTCAAACAAAAAATTCGGTAAAGATGTCATGGAGGAATTGAGAAAGGTTTTTCAAGATTTGGCTGGTCCTGATCTAGACCATTTAAAAACAGATTGGATCAGCCAATCCAGGTCTGTAACTCCTAAAAGAATCGGAAACCTTGGTTCTTAAAATACTCTTATGAAGATCTTATGGTTTCTTAAAGCTGTTAAAATATGATTACAAACTAGAGTATAATTAAGACTACTAGAGTTGTAGGTGGATTATAAAAGACTTGCCACGTGGTTGTGCATCTTGTTTAATATAGGGAATAAACAATACCACCACTGGTGGCTGCTTTGTGCCTGGTGTTGCCCTCTCGGCAAAATGCTCAACTCTGGCATTAGCCCAAGTGGTCTGCCCGGGCACTAGAATGGGTATAAGATGCCACATATATACTTAAGTGTCACATTTTTGAGTTAACCACTTGGTAGTCACCTATATATATTACCTAATGTTATAGGATTAATGTTAACCTTGAGTCACTTTTGATAAATCAATAGGTGAGGTTTCTCTCAAAGTTTGTGTATCAGTAAATTTTCTTCCTGTATTGAAAATAGGCTGAGAAATGTAGGATCTGGTGTACACCATTAACCGGATTTGCTATTGAATATATAAGACAATATTGGACTATTCTGTTTCGTCAGTTTTATGTTTTGCAAACACTCTACCAGCTCTGAAGACAACTCAACAATTATCACCTTCAATCCCACTCGAAGAGAGAGAAGCTTCTTATCAAGCTGCCCGTGCACGGATTTTTTCTTTGCATGAGGATGGTGAACAGGATCTAACTGCTCCAAAGTCCCGTAAAGTTCCAGTGGTTGCTAGGCGGATGATTGCACATGCACTTGGCCAGAGGATTTCTCCAACTTCGTCCACGGAGAAGCTCTCCTTGAATGAAAGTGAGAAGGAAGTCACTGGTGGACTGAGCAGTGATGAAGGTAAAAATTTGTGTCCAAAGGTAGAAGATATCAAAGAATCAACTGCTTTTTCTACCGGTAAACTGGGTTCACATGGAAGGAAAAAATATGATAAGATGACTCATGGCAGTAGTGGAGGTCGCAGTCATAACTCTGATGGGCATAATGAAGTTGCTACTGGTGTTTCTGCTAAGAATAATTTATTACCAAATTCAAGTAACAGAAGAGCTGTTGGTGTTGAAGATTTGGAGAAACTACATATCGGAGCTGCTCGGAGGATTTTTGCTCATGCGTTGGGTTTACCCTCTGGCAAAGGAAATCTGGAAACTATGGTGAAATCGAATGAAGGAAACAGAGATTTTAAAAGAGAGACAGAGATTGATGATCAAGAAGTCACATGATGGAGCACTTCTTATTGTGAGTCACAACGGATTGGTGGGTTCTGCATTGACTTCATGGGCCTTTCAATTCATGGAGTGGAAACGAGGTGGACCGAGAAAAAAGAGAAGGATCAACACTGATATCGACTTTGGAATATAAGAGGCGTTTTGATTTTTCACTGATGCATATTTCAACAGAATTCGGTCGTCAAACTGTTGCGCAGATCCTCAATTGTGGAAGCAGACCATTTTTTTTGGAAGGCACACCTCAGATACTGTATGTGTGCATTAGTAAGTTATCCTCTGCCAACCTGGTCTTGATTATTTAGCCACTTCTTTGTTACTCCTCACTATGATTAAGCATTTATTTTCTCCTGAACAATCTCAGAAACATAGCAATGTTATAGATTCTTGAATTGACAAATGTAGTCCTGTAAAATCTAGTCAGAGAATTGGTGAGACGAGTGCTATAAAAGGCTCAAGATGAAGAGAGTTGGCAAATGTACTCTTGATTTGGTTTCTCACCTAGGGATTTAGTGTATGTAGGAAACCGTGAATTGACTTCTTGAGGTGGTTTGGCTTAAGTATACAATGTGATTTGGAGGATATTCGTCGTTAGAATTTAGTACCAATGTTGTAGGTGTCGTTGGCTCACTTTGTGGGTGCTCGGCTTTCGGTGGTGATCAACCTCCGTCATGTGTCTTGTTGGAATCTCTCCACCGCTATGCTGTTGGAGGAGGATCTCATTACCTTCTTCGACTTCCTGGTCGAGTTCGAGGTGGGAATGGAGGTGATGTAGTTGCCATGCATGCACATCTTCCATGGCAGTTGTATCACCAGATGGCTGGAGGACAATCATCTGTCCCCTCCCTGGACCAGATGTGAGAAATCCAAAAAAAACATAAATAATGGATTCCAATTGCCCTCTCTCTCTCTCTCTCTCTCTTTTTCTCTAATTTCATGCGGACACAACTGTGTCGTGCATGCTTATCACAACATATACCGACTCCTGCTTGTCGTCTCCTTATTCTTCCTTGCATCTATCTATCCCTTATTACGGGTAATGATTAAATTACTAATGTGATGCATACTGTTACAAACAACGTCATGAAATAATGCATCCAGATCGATGCATATAGTTCTGAGCCAAACTATACCGAAAGGTAATAAATATTTAAGAAGACATATTCAACTTCTACCATTTAAAAAAAAAAAATCCTCACTTTAGGTGCTAAAATTCAACATTCAGCAATCCATGATTGAACATTAACTACCAACCAAGCGACAAAGTTGCAATTGAAAGATTCTTTATATTGCAAGAAAGCCAATAGATAAAGAGTACCAAAAAAATATCTTTTATACTAAATAGGAACAGCAAAGTTGCCATTAATTCAAATCAGAGTAGCAAAGCAGACTGACATCCAAGTTATTAACGATAGAACCCAACCATGCATCGGATTATTCATCTGTAGCTATTTTCACTGGGAAGATGTCCAAAAAATCCAGTGAAGTTTACACCATGTACCAGCGTGAGCATCTACGAGAAGTCCAGAAATGCAGCAACTTAGTAGCATACGAGCCCATTCACAATACCTTTAACTGATACTAATGATGGATGAAGCCTTTCGTTTGTGTGTCCTCGCCTACTGCAAATTTTTTCCATGCTCCAGAATGCACATCGAATTGCAGCCTCACCTCTGGTGGTAAAGCACTTCACCTTTTCTTTCCCCGATCAGTATCACCGATGAAACAAGGTTGATCTCGATTGGTCATGGCTGGGGCCTTGTCTGAACTATGAAAATGTCTTTCCCGACCACACACCCTTCAACATCCTGCGGACACCCAAACTTCTGTTCGAGAAAGAAGCCTATCGTGCACAGACGTTGACCAATCTGCCTCCTGTAGATAGGGTCGATTGTCAATGGCTTCTTACTGTAGTCCACGGTTAGGCGAATAAATTCTCCATTTGCAGGGCCAGAATTAAGCACCAATAGCTCCTCACTGAAGTTTGCAAAAGCCAGGGTAGTTACTTTTCCGTCAAACTTTCCAGATGAAAGCCTCCATGGTGTGCCACGAGTTCCTGAGGCAAGCGTTTCCCCAAGACCAGGAGCAATCTCTGCTTCAACCACCTTGGCATCACGATCAATAGGGCTAACTGTGTGAAGCACAAAAGAGAGATCTGGGAACAACATCTCCTGCACCAAAACAGCCATCATTGCATCCTTTTGGGGGATACCAGCTGTTCGACGACTTAAAATGGCTCTTCTTGTGTAGAGGGAAGCCCACACTCGGCCAACAGCTGCTCCGAAGGCACCTGGGTTTGAGAGGCTGACATTTGGAACAGATTCATACAAACCAGCAGCTGACATCCCAGCTAAGTCCTCAACATTGGCACTAGACCTTACGATAAGACGGGTATTGATTGGAAGAATTTTTCCGATAGCTTCCACAGTTTCTTTGGATGGACGTTGGGCTGAAACCAGCGTCTGGAGCTCAGAGCATAATCTATCAAGTTCACCATTTTCAAGTTTGGCTGTCTCTAATCGTTCTACGAGGGATAGGAAGGATTTGATTGAACCACTTCTTTCAACTGCCAATTCCAAAGACCCGAAAGGAATCACTGCCCCTGAAGGGACCCCGAATGAAGCAGGAACTCCTTGGTCACTGTTAACTGACATCAAATGGCCCAAATCAAACAAGAGGAGAAGTTGTTAATGCAAGATTATAGTATGTCATCCTAACTATAGATGATATCTCCACTAATTGACGCAAAGAAGAAGGTTCTGAGGAGTCTTGTATATACAAGAAGATGACAGAAATAATATGGGTTGGTACGTAGTTCAGACAGCCTATTTTTCTTCAAGATGAGGATTCATTCTAAAAAAGATCAATACAATAAAACAGTTTTGATTCAATAATTACCTTTTGTAGAAATTGTCGCCATAGAAGCAAGGAGACCACAAGCAGCAGCTTTTGCACCAGATGTTTCAGCAACTGCCTGTGAAAGCTCTAGCACACTAGCAGTACCATGTGAAGGGTTCTGTTTTACCTGTCAGTATATTCAAAAGATAATAATAAATAACACGGAAAGCATTAAGAGAGAGAGAGAGAGAGGGGGGTCATGAGGGTGAAGGGGAAACCTTTGGTATCTAACACTTGTTTAATAAAAAAATAGAGATGATACCTCCCTTGACCATTGCATGCTAGGGAGTTCATCTTTCGATGAAGTTGAAGTACTTGATAGCTCTTCAGGCAAAGCCTCTTTATTTTCTTTAGATGAGAAAGACACTTCAACATGAGTAGCTGATGCCTCCAACCTAATTTCAATATAGAAAACATCAATATGTAAGTTACAGAACCAAAAAAAAAAGGGTGCATATATGTTGGAATTTCTAGGTCATACATGCATAAATATTATCAAACCAATCAGCACGTGTTAACATGAGCTGCAATGTACCATGCCAAAAAGGTATAAGTACGGATCAACATGGTGGTCAAGGTACTGAGAAATGGCTAGGGGACTAGGCCAACATTTAACGTGGGCTAGACAGCACAAAGGTGTGCCAATGGACACTGCATATAATTTTATCATGCATCAGAAATGTTGGCACATGCCCTCATGACAAGAGGGCTGGGAGGGTCTCTTGATGCCTTCTTTTTTCTTCCCATCAGAGATACTTCTCTTACATGAATATGTATGTGCATAAATGAAATTCTAAGAAAAAGAATTCTTTATTGGGCACAAAATCCTTATGAAGAATATTTCTTAAGTACTCTCTAGCATGATCAATGATAGGGAACATGACATGAGAAGATTCCTTCTGGTTTTATCAAGATATTATTGAGAACAGACAAAGCAATTTGGGCTTCCATGTAGACACAAATAAACATGAGTGCACACAACTGAAGCTCACCCCAACCCTATTTACTGCCTATTCTTATAGGTTAAGTACTCTGTACCGATTACATGATGTTTTCTCATTTAGTTGATCATCAAGAACATGGAACCGAGTACTATTGGCATTGTGGAAACCAATAGACTACTGATTTTGTACAATGTTAATTGGCATGACTGCTGTAGCATGGGAGCAGAGAAATAAAGAAAGTCACGATTGGCATCAAAGCAGCAAAAGAATTATGCATCCATATTCTCCATCCCTTTCAGATTCTTCTCCCCTGGCATGCCACCTCTGGCTCAAATGACAAAAATAACACAAACAGCAAGTTCTAATATCGAGAAGCGACATCAAATTCGTGCTACAGTGACTTTGTGCTGAATCCTCTAAACACATGACATAATAGGTTTTCTTAACTTAGGCTAAATGATCCTAGACTTTGATCCTTGTTTAAAAATATAGCCAACCTCGATATTTAATGCTCAAGAAGAGGGTTTGAGAACTGGATACCAGACCCATACTGGTCCCTATCTGGACCAGTATGGAACCTGTATGCACCGGCATATACTGACACACAATACGCCAACATACCAGTTGGACCCAAAAGGGAGAGGACAAGAATGGGAAGGAGGAGCAAATCAGGAGGAAGAGAAGTGGAGAAGGAGAGGAGTGGAGCAGGAGTCTACAGAGAGAGAGAGAGAGAGAGAGAGAGAGAGAGTATAGATGTGAGACTATAGAGAGCACCTCAACTCCTTGTCTACATGGAGGATTTGATAGGACTTCACATCTAGCTATAGACTTACATGAACCTTCCAAATCAGATGTCAAATTCCTAGCAAAGGCAAATGTAAAGAATAAATGGAGTAGCTGTAAGACCTAAAAGCTAGCAAGTAGGGAAATCTATCTTTGAGGTAACAGTTAATTCATGCTCCCAAGGGATAGAGGCATTGAAAACTGTACCATAGTGAACAAATATACAAATCAACAAAAGTAATTCAAAAATAAAGATCAAAATCAAAAATTTGAAAGGTCAAGAACATAACCTAACATATTTTCCTTCAAGCTTCCGGATGCTAGCAATTCTATCATCATCTTCACATGTCACAAATGTCACTTTCTCCTAAGAATTGGCACCAATGAAAATACGAACTCAATTTGAAATTGCCAAATAGTTTGCTTGAATTAAAAAGTTGCAAAAGGCAAAGTCATAAACTGACCTGTCGGGCTCTAACACCAAGATGAGAAAGGTGAGGTAACTCCTGCAAAAGTACAACTCCTACAATATTATCTCCAGCAGCCTTGACCTGCAGCAATCACATTCAAGAAAAGCAAAATTAAATGTTTAATAACATAAGTAGCACTAGGACCAACAAAATAAAGTTGATACAATATCAAGAATAGAAAAATTAACAACCTCCTCATCCCCATCAGCCTTATTGACAACCAGAATGACAGGTCCTTTGACAGATGAAGGCAAAGAACCAGGAATAATGCTTTCAACCTGAAGAATATGATAAAACGATAGAATGAGAATCAGGTCTTCTTTTACAAAATTATAAATTATAAGTTATAGGAAGTCACGAAGCTGAAAAGGTCATATAACAAAATCAGATTTGTTTGATTTAAAATTCATTAGGATAAAATAAACACCAAATGGTGATTCAACTGCTGGCTCACAGATTTCTCGAAGTATATCCTATAACCTTCAAAACCTTTCATTTTTATCTTCTGTTTCTAACAGAGACTTTGGTAGGCACATACAAGTATGTGCCTCTCACTCTCTGTCTATATATATACATATACATATGTGTACGTACATACATATAAAAACATGAGGATTGTGATTGTAAAAGAAATCAATTTAATATCTTTATACAATTTAGTGGAAAACTGAAATTTATCATGTCCTGAAGTTAAGTAGTTATTTCAATATACTTACTATGACTTGAATTATCAAGGATAATAAGAGTTGCAGAATGATAATGGTTATTACAGCTGCCATATGGTTTACTTCTTAACATTCTGTTTACATGTCATTGCCAATTTGATGATTGCATCCTTCCTCAAGCATAGTCATCAACTAGGTAGGAGTTCAATTTTGATATAAATGTTATCTCACTCAAACTAGTAAAACTATTAAGTATTATTATTGTTGAGTACCTGTAGAAGGGTTCCATGAGCCACTCCAGGTACAAGAACGTCCCAGCCTGATGATCCCAATGCAGCCCGTACAGCTCTTAGCAGAAGAGTGCATAGCTTAGAAACCTGAAAAATTACACTGGCAAAAAAACAATTTGCACACAATGTAATTAAATTTACAAAATCAGATGTTAATTCTCTAATAACAAAAAAAAGAATAAAGCCTAGAAAAATTGCTGGATTAAAGGAACATTCAAAAATTAAGGAGAAGAAAGCTATACCCTGCACGAATTTCCGCTTCAGTGTATGTCCTTACACTGTTCTCTGGGATTCCAAGGGCTTGGCCTAGCCTCTGCAATGTAAAGATAAACTAGGTCAAAAGATTCATTTGATAGCTTAGTTTTTCAGAATACTAACCTTGAGAAGGTCAGTAAAACCAACATAAAGATGGCAAAAGAAAAGTCCAAACAAAAAAGAACGATTTGTCACTGTCAAACACTATATGGGGAAACACATCACCAAGCTTCTGTGAGATAATAAATTGTAGATCTATGAAAGAAATTAAACATCAATTTAGAAAAGGACAGCTTCTTCATTCAGAAGGATATTAACCTGGAAGGCATATATAAAATCTCACACTTCACCAGAAGAGCATAAGTAATTACTCATGCAAATCACAATACGTATAGAATATAAAACATCTAAAGAATAAGCAAACATGACAATTAGAAAACATGGGCATTCTATACAGGAGGGTATAAACAGAAAAAAAGGTGTCACTTTCTAAACCATAGGGTGAAACAAGTCAAAGAAAAGCATATTATTCTTTTCCAAATTAGTGACACAAAATGCAGCATTAGTGGCTCAAATCAAGTCTCGATGAAAGGGATAAAAGACAATCAGCAACAACATGTTTAGAATTACTAGTGTATGATAACTTTTTAATACCCATTAATCAGTACTGGTGAACTGGGAAAGAAAGATGTTTTCCATACATTATACAATATGAGATGATATATAAGCAATTTGGCTTCTAATATGAAAAGACTTTAGAGAGAAACAGTTATACAATTGATCATAACCCAGCAGCAAAGATTAGAAAGTGATGATTGTGAAATATAAATTAGAATTGAACACAAACATCAACCTGGACTTTGTCAGGGAAAATCTGAAGAAGTACTTCAGAGTATTCTTCCGTTAACCGCCTTGCTCTATCTAAAGTAGCCTTGAGCCTTAGCGACCAAATATACTTTCCTTCCTCACTGCCTAACCAAAACAAATAAGCAGGAAAAAGTAACATGTTCAAGTAAATACCATCAGAAAAATAAGACTTAGAACTAAATGTAATGCAATAAAACCTAGAACAAGATGAGAAATACCTTCTCTATCAGATATGCCTTTATCTAGCCATGAGAGAAGCTCCTTCTGTATAGCATTGCATTCCTCTAACTTCCAACCTGAAAGCCAAACCTGGCGTAAGCCAATGTTTAGGGCAACAAGTGGATGAGTCCAAGGACTTATGTTTTTTGATCCAATCTTTTGTGCAAGCCACGACGATCCTCCCATTTCTTCAAGAGCATTAACAAATCTATGAAGTGGAAATTAAGAAGAATAGTCAAGCCACAATAGAGACTTACATTACCAGTTCTCAATGACAATATATGAGTAAAAGTTAACCTAAAAATTTACAGTTGTACTAATAATTTTCCAGCAGTAAGAGATATTTCCGAAACAAACTGCCTTGATAAGTCCAGAGTCTTAAAAGAATGCCAAAACTTCTTCACGCTATGTATTTACAGAAAGAATATAAAAATGACACTATAGAAAAGCTCCTTCAAATTCCACGGGTGGTACTTTGGTCACAAATAAACGGCAATGTTAATATTCATTATGTTCTCCCATGTATAATTGTGCTATCCGTCTGATTGAACTCCCAAAAGTTTTCAAAAGATTTTTTCATAACATTTAAGTATTAATTCGATTATATTCTAAAACATTCCATAAATATACTCTTTCAATTACATGACCAAAAAGATAATCAAGTTTCTTAACTTGCATATACAACAGTTTTATAATAGGGTTACAACTTATAGTTAAGTCAAAGCCCTCCTTCAAACCTGCATCTGTGATCATAGGTATAAAATATAGAGCAAACATAGGCTCCTTTTAGTGATCGATGAGAATTTTGAGGCTTAGTGCTCATACACTCTTGTGCAAGAGAATTGAGCCAACTGTGAATGATCCATGAGCCTCAGGGCATCTTTGGCAAGATGGAGGAACCAGGTTCTCTCAGAATTAAGATAAAAACAACAGTAGTTCCTACAAAAGATCCAAGATCTTTACAACATAGATAGACAAGCACACTATTAAAACAATAAAAGTCAAAACTCAAAAGAGCCCTTACAAATGATTCAAGTAACAAATTTTCATGTCTTAAACATATGCACTTCTATTTATGGCATCAAATCAATACGGTATTACAAGCTAGGATCAAACAACCAGCCACACAGTCTGCTGCAGTCCGGTTTTTACCAGTTCAACAAAAAAAGGGGATGCAGACCGAGCAATTACACCTGGTTCGGTTCGGGATAAACTGTACCACCCAATAAGTTCACTGTACCATGCTTATCAGATTGTAATGAGACCAGTACCTAAGGGTATTGGACTACCGTCCGGTCGGATATGATAATTGTATAGCTGTCAGTCTTTATTTTTTATACTCTCTCTCACCGTCTGCCTCTTTGTCTCTCTCCTTGACTCTTTCTCCTTCTCAATTTTCTATTTCCCATAATCACCTCCTTCTCCCCTTCCCTGCCAGCGCAACAATTGCATCATCACTTCCATGTTGTCGTGGCATCCTCCTCGATGCATTGTTGCCTCCTCCTACCAGTATGCATTGTGATCTGTTCCTCCTCCTTTCCTTCTTCTCCTCCTCCCCTCTTCTCCAACTCTTTCTCTTAGGCCCATGCTGACCAATATGGACGCATAGTATATCGACACCGCCCTCATATGGCTGAACCGGTATGGGTCTCGGACTGGAATTTGATATTTTATTTACATGCGTAAGAAACATGGCAATTTAAGGACTACAGTAAAGAGATACAACATAATTCACAAAAGTAATTCTGATGAACAATGCAAATGATACCAAAATAATAGTACATGGAGAGAAGACAAGGAAGACGAAGTGATGTACTAAGTAAACTAGAGATCAAGATCATTCATTTCATTAAACAGGAGTATTCATAAGTAAATTTGTGTCAATAATATTTCAATCATGTTACAAAAATAAAGCTTGCAAGAGTTTAGGTTCTAAAAAATGAATGAGAAGAAAACTACATCAAAGATGCCCAATGTCACATTACAAAAAAGGACAAACACAATACAGTAGACTCCCACCAGTGTGAGGTCTAAGGAGGGTCTGTGTTAAAGAGGGTCAATGTATACAACCTTACCCACACTACACTGGCAGAGAGGTTGCTTCCTTAACTCAAGCCCTGGTTACCCAGGCTGTAAAAGAGCAAGCTTAATGTCATACCAAGGCTCATCCCTCTCCATTACCGAATTATGAAGTCAATAAATATACTTGGCACAAAAACTGGCACGTGAACAAGCTTGGCATAACACGAGAACATGAGAGGGGGTATTGCATGGGCAACATTGGCAAGTATATACCATGCTGCCCAAGCTCACATTTGCTTGGCATCATTATTCTTGGACTTCAGAACAGTACTTAAATAAATGCATATTGTTCTGTCAGAGTTCTACGTGTAAAACAACATAAAATATTATGTTAAGAATCACCTGCTAGTTACTTTGTCTAATTATTGAAAAATAATCTGCATTAGATATGTAATAAAAACTAAAAGCTCTTATTACAAAATTAAGTTTGATTAGAAATTTCAAAAGAGATTATAGTAAAGTAAATACCTGCTAAGGAGAACAAAAGAGTAATCCTCAAGGCCAATCTCACAGAGACGCCACTACAAAACAGTAAACAATATTTTCATATAAAAGACTTAAAAGAGTGTATATCATGTGTATGTAACAAGCACATCTGCATGTAGAGAGTCACTTGCACATGAATGCAAAGACGCATAGAGATTGGGTATAAGCAAAAAAGACAAATGGAAAATAACATATGAACGTGGCACATACTTTTTGGCGCATTGCAATGGCAGCATCAGGAGCATCATTTCTAATACCACTTTCAAGACCTTTCACAATGAGTGACCTTATACCCGATAAAGATGTCAAAGTTTCCATCAGCAATTCAACCCCACCATTTTCAATGAAGTTCTTTTCTTCCTGCAACTTTTCTAAGCTCTGCAACATTTTAGATAAGTTTATTGTAATGACACAGAAATCTGACTACAAATGAAAGCATGGTAAACTTTATAAATTACTTCCAACGTCTAGCTATTAAGCAAGTCATCAATGGTGAAGGTTCTATTACTGAGATAAAAACCGAATCAGATTCTATAAACCTTAAAAAAGGATAAACATGGTACGCCCAATAAACTAAACATTCACCAGAACTTTATAAGCACACAAACAATTCTCTAATGAATATCTACCTAACAAGTACACCTTTGAAAATTTCAAGTGTCCAGCAAGAATATTTGAACTTTACTTTTACCATAGAAGATTTTAGATATTTCCTTCTTAAAAGTCTACTAAAGAAAATAATATTCATCTTTTGTGGGTGGCTTATTTTTAAATGCACTAAAAGAGAAGTCATCACATAAATTTTAGGCCTTTCTGGCATCAAGGTGAATTTTGAGGTTTTGCTATTTGGTTCATTTGCATAAGCTTAAACTATGAAAAAATAAAGGTAGATCTTCTTATAATGCAAACTGCCAAGTAGCGTTTTAGGTTTTAAGGCATTTCTTATGTTACCAAAATTTACCCTAGCTAGGAATATAGAACCATAGAAAATATGTTAATCCATCATGAGAGTCGAACAGAAGTTGATGAAGACTTGTCTACTTTAACTATGCCTTTTAACTTATCCTATGTTGATGGCAATCTTGGATTTTCATGAAACGGTGATTATAAGTATCCACAAATTAATAGAAATAAAAGAAATGCTCAATAATTTTTAAAACTTTGGTGATTAATAAGTTCCATTTAACAAATTACATGTTTATAAAGGAATATAAAATATTAAGAACATATGATCAAATGCATAATGGAAAATATAAATAGCATACCATTAAATGCATAAAGACATGATATTTATTTACAGAAAATGCAAATTACCTTTTTGCTATCCAAAAACAAAGCAAGAGCTTGCAAGCTATGTTCGTCTAGAGATTCTTTTATCGACTCCAGCTGCTCAGTGAGACTGCAAGAACATCAGTTAGAGAGGGATAAACCTAAGATATGAACTTTATATATCTTTTACCTTGTTTTCTAAGTCTAATTAGATCCATAATCAATATAGAAAAGCAGTGTGTGTTTCTTTCACGATGACTACAAATGATATCTTTCTTATTAAAACCTTTAGGTGCTATACAAATACAACATTTCATCAGTCTTGCATTTGATAGATGGAAAAACATGAACGATGAGAAGAAAGGGATTATCTACATGGACTGAGTAATTGGCTAACATTAGGACAATGTGGGAAGTTCATGACGAGTTCTCCTATCCCTAAAGTTTGTATCAATTTTGAGTTGCAATTTTGACACACTAGTAACTGATTAACTTACAAGGCATACTGAAGAACAACTTTCATGATGATGCTTGTTGTTTGATGATGATAATGCTCTGAATGATAAGAGCTTAATTGGATACTTATAATAACAGTGCCTCGCTAGAATAACTTATAATTGGTAAGTATAAAACATAAATATGAGTTAGATTATAACACCACTAACCTTCCAGCATTGAAGAAATCTTTGAGCTCATTGTAAAATATCTTAAATTGTTCTACAAATGCATCACTATACTCCCCTGGAGTCTTGGTGATCCTAGCAAGCATGGCTTCTGTGGCAATTAAATCTTCTGGACCAGCATTCCGGTGAAGCTTGTTTTGAATTGTATGTTTGATTTCTTGCTGTTAATTAAAAAGAAGATTTCAGTGCATGATGTCAATGAGGATTATATCAGGTTATCAACTATGCTATGACAAGAAACAACCTTCAGATCGTGAGGAATGTCCCCCCGATGAGCAATATCGCGTATGCGTGTTAGAGGGACAGAAGCAGTAAACTCTGACTTAAATGAAGGCAAACATGGATGTATCTTCCGGATCACCAGTACATCCTGGAAATATATACAATGTAAAAAGAGAGTATACAATGTAAAAAGATAGCAAGTGACAATCATCAGAGGTTAAGCTAAGAATCTAGATAGTTACAGCAGAAAAAACAGGTAAGGAGCAATTATGTACATCTCAAGCACATAAAAGAAGCAATCTCATGATCATGAGCAATTCTGAACCAATCAAAGCCTCATGGTGATTAGGCCATTCTGTTGCCTGTTGTTAGAAGGTGTACCCTGAGACATACATCCTTGCCAACAACTTATAATTTAATGATATGAGCAAACACTAAAAATTGTCAAGCATAGGCGTATCCAGGAAGGTTCTGAATATTGTACCATACCGGTGTACCGATCAGCTATCGGTACAATATATACCGAGCATACCGACACATAGTATACTAAGGTGTACCGATGTACCGCCCGTACCGGTCCTCTATCGAATCGGTACGTACCACCCATACCGAGCGATACAGTACAGTATTGCAAACCATGGTACCCAGTGCATGAGATTTCCATTAATACAAGGTCTAAGGAGGATCAGTGTATGCATTCATACCTTTAAATATTTATAGAGACTATTTTCGTGACTTAAACAGTCTCCCTGGTAGCAAAGAAGCAACATTACCATTGTATGAACGCTTGCATACATAAGACATACAATTGGTATATCATGTCACAATCGAAAAGGTATCCTTCACAAGATTGGAATTGAATTTAGAATTTATCATGAGAATCATGATATGAACCAATTGAATCACATACATAGATTGAATCAGCCAAAGAAAATAAAATTATGATATTTCAGGTACAAAAATAGGAAAATTACATTCGATAAATATTAGATCATTATGTGTGTGTGGAT